TTATTGGGCAAAAATCTGCCCAACCGGCGTGTTGGTACGCTAATATGCTCAAGCACTGCACGTTCGGATCACCTTATGTCACGGGCTTTCGGTGGTGCAGAGCTCCCGAGTCCGATGCACTGGAGGACGTCGGAGGGAACCTCGGAAAATGTTTCCTCAGGGGAGCCTGCGTGTAGATCCGCATGGGTGCCTAGAGGTCCCGAGGCGTCCTAGGTAAACGTACTTCTACGTCAAACGCAGCGACGCGGCCTTTGAAGGAGAAGGAAGCGGAGGAGGGGCGGAGGATTCTAGGACGTACCAAGCTGCTGAAAGCCGCACTAAAAGCTCCCCTCCTGTGGGACACAAGGAGGACACCTTACTTGTAACGAAGGGGACACGTAAGCGCAGCTTTCAAAGCTACCGTATTTTTTACACTGTACTTGAGCTGCTGCTACAAGGTAGCTCAATAGCTAGCTGGGCCCCTGCAGGTGACGGCATTGTTGCGAGAGGGTTTAGAATGCAGTCTCTGATGAGCCTCGTTTGGCAAGAGGAGAGGTAGCATCAGGTTTACAAAGTGTAGTGGTTTGCAACTGAGGGTCAGGTGAGGCCGACACTGCACTTCTATTTTGAGATGGTCACAAAATGCAGCACGTGAGCTAGCTGTACGTGTTGTGTAAGTTGACCTGTGGGAGGCGTAACTTTAAGGAATTTGGTGCACAGCCAAGTATATCGCAACGTCTTGGGAGACTAACAGCTTCTTAGGCCCCCAAAAGATAACCGACAAGACTCTTGGGACTGTGAAAGGGCCCATATCAGCTGACACAAAGGAGGGGTTTGTTCAAAATAAAACCAGGCTCTTCAGTCCGCCATTCCCTTTAGGACGTCCTTGACTAGCAGTGAGAGCTCGGTGAGAAGGCCTCCTTTTTTATTCTTTGTCTCCTCAGATGGAGGTAGCTGAGCATTCAAAGCCAATGGTAGACTACTGGTCTAGAGGCCCTGAAAGGACCGCCGAAGGAGGCTTCCTTGAGCTTGTTAAGATCAGCCTCCCAGAATGTTGAGCATGAACCACGTAAAATAACTTCATAGGCATTCTTGGATACTTTTCGAAGTAGTGAACTTAGCTGGAACGTCAGCTCAGCTGCGAACGGAAAGAAGTTTCTCAAATAGCAGAGATCGCTTACTCCTGTATCTGAGTTCTCAATTTACCTGGAGTATGGCGCACAATCCTCACTTTAAAGGGTACTGAGAGCCAGAGATGCAGAGACAGGACAACAGCATGCTTCAGGTAAGGGGACTATTTTGGGAGACGTGATTTCATCCCTACATGAGCCATTGGGAATATTTTGTTGCTGGATTCTCTTTAATTGGAGATCTGCTCATCAAAATACACATTGACCTGCAGGGGAAAGTTACATATGCTGCTAATGCAGCAATAGATCAGTACGCGACAACAGCGTCTCTAGCAACCACGAGGGGACAGATGTTTCTTGAGGGGCGTACCATCAAGGACCGACACAAGTGCTGTGAGCACAGCTTGGCGGATGTAGCAAGCGTTCTCATGACTTCGTCTCTTTTCATGGTAAGCTTGAGCGCTTTTGAGAATTCATTTGCTCTAACGGGCTGGACCGCACAAGCGGTGTTGCTCTTTCGTGCGCTGACACGCGTTCGCATGCATCATTAAGGATCATGTGCCGGCCAGCTCTGAAGTAGGGCTGAAGTGGATTCCCCCAACGATAGAATGATCCACAGGAATTTGCCTCCATGCATCAGTAGTGCTGGATTGTGATTTATCTAAAACTTACTATAGGTCCAAGGCCAGCCCGAAAGTACTGCCTAACCAGATGATTGAGTGGGTCATTTGAGTGGGGTTTTTTTTTTTTTTTTTTTTTTCTTTTCTTTTTTTCTTCCACATTCCCTAGTGATCAGAATATGATCTACGGAACCTCAACACTCTCAAAATAATCACACTGACATCACAAGGCCAGTCTCTTTGTGATGAACATAGGAATGAGTAGTTGGAGTGAGCTTCTTCCTTCCTCTGCAGGTCATAATGACGGCTTGCATCCTCGTTGCCATCAGCAGCCTTGCCTGTGGCAATGTGGGTAGCAGCGTGGCTCCAATTGAGCTTGGCGGCCGCCGACTGAAACTCGGAGCTGCCGAAACGTGCAACTTGAGGATCGCCGTAAGTCCCTTGACTCTGGAAACTACTCAAAGGCTTATCCAGCTCAACCCCTTGAGATTGCTGGCAAGAGATCCGCTCCATGTTGACTGAAACTCGGAGCTGCCCAAAACATGCGACTGAAGGTCGCTGTAGTCCCTGGTAAGTACTTAAAAGCGGATCCACTTCAATTTCTCGAGAACACAAGGGACTGCTTCCATGCAGAGTGATACTTGGAGCCGCTGAACCATGCAGACTTGAGAACGCCTTAGTTACCCGAACCCTCGAAAATATCAACGCATAATCTTTTCGATTTCAATACTCTAAGGAGACAGCGGCCTGATTCCATGCTAGACTTCACTTGGCAATGCTCATCCACTTTCACGAGCAGTCCTTGTTGATCATGTGGCATGTGACGTATCTATTCTGATTCCGACATCATCATTAAATAAGCCGTCGCCATCAATGCAAGGTGGCGGTTGCTATTGAATCGAAGTACTCAGCCTCTCACTTTCCTTACTTGAGTTGTACTCAGTGCACAGAAGAAGCCTAAAAGAGCTCAAGAAAAGCGGGTGTCGAACAAACCCGTGCTTTTATGTTCACAGAGGTCGCTCTGTGTTTTTGGTCCTTCAATTTCCATCTTTTTCGAACCTATTGATTTGACCTTCGATACCTAGGTTTTACTTTTTCGAGAGCTGTTAAGCCGGTTGCTTCTGTCGGAAGATGTAAAACTCAAGGGATGTTTTAGAAGATCCAATATACATGTTCACGTTTTTTTGAGGGCCTTCGGGTGTTTCAATGCATAAAATAGGGCAACGAACATCCTTAAAGCAGCTTTCTTTTTCTTCCCGTGCAGCCTGCGGCTCACGTGCCTTCATTTCCGGTGGTGACCGAAACCCTGCATCCTTCACTCGGTTGGACCTTCCACCGCTCCGAGTCCTGTCCCAACCAAACTCTCAGTCAACAGGCGCAGTCAAAGCCAGGGCCCGGAGCTCTCCTCCGGGCGCTTTGGTGGAGCCCTCGGAGTTTTCTCCAGGGCCTCTCGCTTTTCAAGGCCCTCGTTCTGCTCGCAAATGAAGCGCGGATCGCACTTACACCGGTGCGCAACGCCAAGTTCGTCGTCAGCATGACGACCTCCCCGAAACGCGTGGCAGAGATCGGGCCTGTCATCGCTTCCCTCAAGCGGAACAGTCTTCAACCAGACTTGATTATCGTCAACCTGCCGCGCCTTTTCCTGCGGACCGGCTCGACATTCGGTGCGCTCCCGGCGTTCCTCACGTCCGATCCGGCAGTGCTCGTAAACTGGTGCGACGACTTTGGCCCCGCGACTAAGATCCTTGGGGCGCTTTCCTTGGTTCACGATCCGGACACGATAATCATCTCTGTAGACGATGACATCTGGTACCCCCCCCACCATCTCAAGAAGCTGTTTCTCAGGTCGGTAGAGAACCCCGGGCGGGTGATAACGGGCAAGAGCGCGATGCCAGGGTTTATCGTAGAGGGGTTTTCGGGGGTGTTGTACCGGCGCGGGTTTTTCGGCGACCCGGGCGAGGTCGGAAGTTGGATCAGGGCGTCGCCCAAGAGTTGCTACCTCGCCGACGACTTCGTGATCTCGAATTACCTCCTGAACCGACACGTGGCGATAGACACGTGCAACACGCGGCTCGAGGGCCGGTTCTTGAGACGGATAGGGCTGGGCCTCGTGCCGCTAGAACATGGGCTGAGATCGGACGCTTTGCATCGTGGGGCGGATCAGACGTCCCGAGGGAATCAAGACAACTACGCGAAGTGTAGAGTACATATGGAGAGCGATGGTTCGTTATACCAGAGCTTCCCTGACACAAGCACGGCCTATTACTGATGGGTTCAATGCTTGTCTGATGCTGCTAGAACGAACCACGTCACAATCAAAGCCCCCATCTCATGGGCTAATAAGAAGGCGAGCTGAAAGCCCGGCTTTTAAGTTCTTTGAAATAAACGGCGCTCGCGTAGGCTTAGCAAGCGGCAAGCTAGTGACTGGACAAAGTGGTTTGAATTAGTGGTGTTTGTGTAGATTCGACGTATCACCGAATTTGCGACTTTGCGGTGAGAAATCGTGCACACTCTCTTGATAGTCAAATATGAGCAGCGACTCGAGGAACCAAATCAAGTGTAACTAGCCGCGCGCCAATCTCTAGAAAAGACGTGAACGAGTCCGGCCGGAGCTGCAGGCATGCCTCTGCCTGATCATTGCGCAAGCTCACATATAAATAGAGTCATTGCGTGACGCATGCTTTCGTCGGAAGTGGATTTGCAGCTAGCTACTCCACTGTGCATGGCTACAAGGGGATCTTACACTGCATCATGGCTTGTACGTTCAATGCGTTCGACGCATCCGGACGGAATGAAGCTGATAATACCAAGCGGCCGCGCGGGGCCTTTCACATCTCCGCTACAGTAAACAATTAAGACAAATGACGGTCTACTATATATCATCTTCTGGCCGGGCTCGTCCAACGGATTATCATGTAATACGCTCGCGATCCACCACATGCATCATCGCAAAGGTCTGATCATGTATAAAGTATCTTCTGCTCATGGCAAGCCTGCTGCACGTGCCAGAAGCTTGCGTGAAATGATAATCACAAGAATTTTCTCAAAGGATCCGGGTCCTCTCGTACGTATGAAATTTCAGAGAATCATTTTATCTCAGCCGAGGATAATAATGTAAGCTCCGACATACACGAAACATATGCATTCATCTACAACCCCCGAAGGGCCTGCCCCGCACCCACAGGGTTTACGTAGACGTGATCATTGAGAGTAAGTGTGGCGTTCAATATCAACGTATTTAGAAGCAATCATTTGCTGGGCAAGGTCTCACATGTAACGTGATTGTGACTCGGCCGTCATTCGACGATGTTTATTCACCACTGAGTATACTCATTCCTCATGCGTGGCCTATCAGTGTTGCAATCCGGTCCATCCGACCCATCAACTAATCATTGTTACCGTACGTGGTTGCACTAACAAAATACTAGTCAAGTTAGAGACGGAAGGCAATGCAAGCCCGAAGGAAGCCCATCTTGACCTTAACGATGCCTACCATACTTCAGCAGTATCTGTACAACTGTCCACTGACCTTTTAGATCCGCGTTGCAGCACTGCTGACTTCCTATTGACCTTGAATGCAACACCCCAGCCTTGCTTGCTTTGTTCGCATACTTTACAAGCCCCGTCGATTTGCGGATTGTGCTTCGAAAGATCTGAATAAACTACAACCGGACTACTGCGTCTTGGCACTACCTTACATTTGACACTGACCGCTCTATTCTAGGGTCAACCTCCAACAACCTCCAACATTTCAAAAATTTTGAATCAGAAGGTACTTAAATCGTGAAGACCCTAGAGTGAGTGCATTCACTGGAAAATCCATGCGAAGTAGCATTGCCCTTAATACAGTAACTTCCGACCTACTCTTCTAGACGTTATGCGATACTTGCCATATCTTAGTGGATTAAATGACAGACTACTGTCCCATACACCAAGACAAAGACTCGCGGGCTTCAAAGCTTCTGCGCGCGCGCTTTGCTGAGTCTGGTAAAACCTGGTAGCTCAAATCAGAGACGCGACCACCGTCTCTACCGGTCAAATTCGTGCGCTCGCGCACCCTACTGGTAGAACTTGTAGGTGCTCGCGTCCACAATAATGTTACGCAGCGACCCGATGAAGGCGACAATCATTACGCCCACGAAAGTGACGATAATAAACTGCGCGAGGGAAAGACAGGCTCAGTCTGCCGCCGCTTGAGTATCCTTGAATCAACTCGCAAAATCCTAAGCTGAGAAGGCATAAGTCGATCGAAGGACCGAAACATGGAAGCAGAAAAACGACGAACACATCCTTGAGAGCGTAAAACGGACTACATGGAAAAGAGACGTCAGCTAACAACGAGAGAGACGGAGTCGAAGATAAGCAAGCTAGGGAAGGAGCGGGAAACTGGAGCTTTTCGTAATTGCTGCCGGCTCGCACGGTGGCCGGACGAACGATGAGTGCCACTCAACCCGCCCATCGAGCAACCTGCAAAGCGTGCTTCTCAGCAGCCAAACACAGACATTCGTTCTGGGCACTCCTGACGGCAGAACGAGGGACGAGAGCGGAAGGACGGCAGGATAGCAGCGGAAACGGAGAGTGCGCGCGCGCTTACCCAGTTCCAGGCCCAGCTGAAGGAGCCCATCTTTGGTTTGATCAGGACGATCCAAATGATGGCGGGCATCTGAATGAAAAAGAAAGAGCGGGTCTCAAGGTTGGGAAGAACGGAAAATCATTTACTGATTTTCACCTGTGGGTTTGACGCCGTGTGCAAAATCTCGAGCCGTTTTGATCGATTACGGTATTTAGTCGAGTCGACGGTTGGCATTATGGAACGACAATCAGCACAGGGATCGGGAATTCTTACTCAGTCAGCATCAAGGCCCAGATGCCACGCACGGGCCTTAGAGCCGGTTGCTACTTTTGAATGCTTCAACGAAAGGCTAGAACGGCCGGTTCGGGTCATAGGGTACGTCACGGGATCAAGAGATGAGCAAAATGTTCGCTCGACAAATCAGGCCAGCGTCAATCTGGCTTGTTGGCAGTACACAAGCCAGGTTTCCAGTGCTAACCCGACGGAAACGAACCAAACGCACCTCCGTTGACTGGCTCCCCAAAACCCAGGTTTGACCACAGCCTAAGAGTGCAGCTGAAACGCTCGGCGGTTAAAGTAGAAAGTGACGTCACAGTGGATACGACGTCAGTCGCTTAGGAGCATCACCGTCACAAGGTGACGTCACAGTTGAGATGCTTACGAAGAAGGTCATGGGCGCATTCCCGAGCGCTCCCAGCAGTCCCATCAGGTCGCCAAAGAAGGGGAAGGTAATCGCCAAGAAAGTGGTGCCGACTGCAATGAAAAGAGGGCAATACTTTCATATTTGGAAAACGGTTGCGTTTGCGTAGAGTAAACATTCAGGGGTCACGGCTTCCTCGAGCACCAGCGACTCGACCATACTCTAAACCACGAGAAACGGGGCCCCTGCTCGTCGGTCATATTTCAACGGCGTTCCGGCGGACTTGTACAGAAGTAAGCCCGACTGACGAGCTTCATCTTTTGGGCGATTGGGCGTTCCCCTCGACGCTTCTTCTAGCTCGCGAAAGTGAGCCAGTCATGATGGACTTGCAATCTGAATTGGATCGACAACGCGGAACCACTGTCCCTTAACACAATTGCTGATGTCAGAAGTTGGAAAGCTTGACCTCATGTAAACTCCCACCAGTCAAAGACGACACTTCTAGTGGAGAAGCACCTGACGGCTCGAGACGCATCGAAGCGCCATCGACGGCTCTAAAGCCGTGAAATTTGCAGCGTTAGGTATTTAATCTCTCATCAAAGCTAAGGCGATTCCCAAGCCCTAGTACCATAACTCTAGACTCAAAGATACCCTTTCAGGAATCTGTTCTTGGAAAATCTGAATCGACTTACGGACGTAGAAGGTCCGGTAAGTGATGCGCATGACGCCGGTGTTGTTGATCCCCTTGCGCAGCATCACGGTCTCGATCATGTCAAAGACGGGGTGGGTATAGAGCTGTAAAACCACAAAACAAAACCTGGGTTACTTCAAATGGTTCAACATTCTCTTACTTATTGGCGAAAAATGCGTAGATACTTTGTTTCAGCCTTCCGCAGCATCACGCTTTCGTTCACGATCAAGAAGGGGTCTGTGAAGAGCTGCAACCCGCAGAATCACTGATTATGATAAAATGATTTCACACTTTTTACTTAGTACGGAGGATTGCACACGGCAATGAGTAAAGCAATGTACAATAGAAAGCGGAAAGTGCCCAAGCAAAGTGAGGAACGCGCGCACTTGCTCCCCATGTTGGTCAAGGCATCCAGAAGCATCGATTATGTGCTGATGAAACTTCGACTCAGCACAGACGCCTCACTTTATGAGTGCAAGACCCCCTTTTAATCGGATCTTGTCAGGATCTGGTCAGCTTTTAGGCGGTGCCATTCCATCCTGGGTACAAATGCGCTTCGACCTGAGAACTTTAATCTGCAAAAACGAGGGCCAACCAATTGTTCAAAACGTCCAAACCCACCTGATACGATGCGAACACGTGGACGACCACCATAAGATTCGCCATAGCGACCACCCAGATCGGCTTCCCGACCGACTTGAGAATGTTGTCCTGGACTAGGTTTCCGAAGGCCCAGTACCCGGTGATTGCGACCGGGAAGTAGCACGCTGCGACGACGGCATACGCGAAGTAGACGCCCCGCATCATGGGGATCTTGGAAGGGGGAGCGCCCTCCTTGGTAGACGGCATGCTCGACTGCGGAAGAGAGAACGGCGTGCTTGATTCGACATCGGGAAACGATCGTTTTACCGAAGTCGTTGCACACCAAAGAAGGAAGGGAATCTGCGCTGATCACCGGATGGAGAAAGAGGATTGACTTTTGTCGGCGTAGAACAGGTTGGCTTGAAGAAGTATCGGGAACCTCCTCTTAGGTTTGAACAGGATGAAAGTGAGTATCGGGCATGGTTGTCTTGCAAAGGATCATGATAAGAGAAGTTGGGTTGTCATTCCGAAGTCAGGCCGTTGCTGAGCTAAGCAAGGTGATCACGGTGGCTCAACACAATGCGAAGGGGTCAACAAAAATGTTTAATAGAACCGCAAAAGAATTTCACAAGCGGGTCCGACAAAAGCGACCCGGCTGACGAAGCGAATATAACTGTTAGAGGACAGAAACGAGTTTCGATACCGAAACCGAAAGCAGGAACGTCCATAGTAGGCCTTAGAAAAGGGGGAAACAAATGACGACTTGGGCTGATGCAAGAGCTGAAATGAACTCCGGCTTAACAAGTTTCGGCAAACAAGCTCGCTAACCTGGATTTCCAGAACCACGTTGTGCCCCCCGTAGGCGAAGCAAACGGTGCCCAGAGCGTTGAAGACGTTGAAAACGACGTCAGCAGTGGTGTGGCCCTTGAGGTTGTACTCAACCCCGGGCTGCTTTCCGACGTTGAGTGACGTGGCAAACGCAATCGTGGAATAGCTGCGAACAGAAGGGAGGGCTCTTGGTCATGATGGGTCTTAAAGATGTTCAATTCATGAAGTAAGCGCTCTTGAACCCAAACCACTCGGGCAACGCTGATCTCAAGCAACAGCCTCGGGTTCAGAAGCTCTTCGCGAACCGACCGGGTTTTGAGAAGGGTTTGAGGAACCGGTGCGAGAAAGATTAAAGGGTGGGTCTTAGCAGTTGAAGTGCAAACAGGTCAAAGGAGCGGGGTTGCTAACGGGTCAAAGAAGATGGTCTAAGAACCAGGTATGGAAACCAGATCTCGAGAGGCCAGACGGGAGTCTGCGGCCTCACCTGAGGGACATGACCGCGCCCATGAACGAGATCGCTGACAGTGCGTTGAAGTTGGGAAGCTGCGAAGGGACCAAACGACACGTGTCAGTTTCTCGGGTCCACCTCTCGTGCGAAGCTTTCCTGGCAATCACGCCGATCGCTCTGCTTCTCTGCTTAGTTGTCAATTCCAAGTCTTTCCCAGATGTGCTCGATAATCAAGACACGTCCACAGGCGAACACTAGATCCGAACTCAAAAGAGGGGGTAAGAGACAGAGGTTTGCAGAACGGGGGTACGAGTTCGGGATCGAGAATCAGGGTTGAAGTGCTGGATTTGGGAAACATGGTTAATAATTGGGGTTTGCGTCTTACCTGTGCGGCGAGCAGGTGCGGCGCCGAGAAAATGAGGATCCACCAAGTCTCCCTCAATTCGGGTTTGCAAACCTGTACCCCGCCCTTGATCTGGTGGCTGGTGCAAACCAGTTCGTAGAAGCGCTGCAGGGACTGGCCACCGGTAACCGAGTAGGTGACGCCTAACCCGACCATGACACACAGCTGCCAGGGCACCGTGAGCCACAGGCCGAGCTTGGGACCTGTGTCAAGAGGAGGTTGAGAGGATCAGAAGATGGTCGAAAGTTTTTCCGTCCGCCGATTTCTTGTTCGAATGGGGCACTCAAAGGTGGACACATGGACTAATGTACGTGCAAGTGGCCAGACCTCGGATCTGGCAAAAAATGCAAACCGCTATCCAAGAAACGCTCGCAGGGGAGCTCCAAAAACACATGTCGAATCAGCGATTCTGGCGGCTTATGAGAGCGTCTAGGGCGGGACGCTTTCGTGAGTAGTAATCCGAGGAGGACTCCTGACTTGACAGTAGTCGGGCAGAAGAAGCATCTAATGGGTATGCACGACTGAAGGTCAAAGCAATGGACAGTTAGCAACAAGAAACGACAGCGCAGGAACCAGCACCAGAAATATAACAGAAGAGGGAAAATTTGAGACGGTCGATTTGAGTACGTGCAGCAAAGCGCAGTTGCGTCAGAGAAGACCTGGACCTCAAAGTGCTCAATCTGAAGTCTGAACCGACTTGCTTGAGAAAGAGGAGATGATAATCGTGCCACTGAAGGAATATCAGCTTCAGATCACTGTTAGAGCGGCTCGAGACCATTTTGGGACGAAGAGACTCCAGCCCGTGTAAATAGGATCAAGTGGCATGCCAAAGGGAGTCGAACCGGAATGGTAGAAACAGTGAACTTCAGATCGAACCAGGAGACGCTAGAGCTGCCCAGCATATCAAAGGTGCAGGGCGGGGTTGAGAATCCGGAAAAGCATTCTCCACAAAGCAAGCAGCGTATGACGGCGGGAGAGAAACTTGGCAACACACTAGAAAGCAAGCCCAGGGGTTCAAATCTGTGCTAGGAGCGGTTCGGGAAAAGCCTTTGCTCAGCCTGGGACAAATAGGAACTCACCGAACGCATATTGGCCCAGCTCGTGGTAGCGGTTGAAGCGGCGCCCGGGCACGAACTCGTGCAAGTAGACGAGCTGCCACAGCGTGTAGAGCGTCACTATAAAGGACAGCGTTAGCACGATGGTGCCGCCGGGCCTGAAGAGGGTTAAGGAAAGGGTTTTAAAAAAGAGGTTAAGGGAAGGGTTAGCAGGAAAACACACTGAGACGTGTCTTTAAGAAAGCGTGCAGAGGGTTTCCATCAAGGATAGAGTCAGCACCATGGTTCTGGCGGGTCGAATTAGGGTTAAGGAATAGAATAGAAAAAATAAAAAAAGAATAGAACAAGTTGCTAAGACGAGTTTATTACTGCTTTCGACAGAATGTTGGCACTTGATACTGATCGAGCTCATGACATTTACCCTAAAAATGTAGCTTGAAGTGACCCTTGAGAGCTTTCCCTGTCCGTTCCGTTTTACAACACTGTGTGATCCAGCTTCTTACACCAGGTCTGAATGAGTAGGCGCACTGAAATGAGTCAGATTGCACCTGATCTCTTCACCGCTGACCGACAGAAAACAGTTTATCTTACAAACCTGAAAACTCAAGAAAGACACCGGTGATTGACTGCAAGATATAACACAACTGAAAGCTTACCACTCAAGGTACTTGAAAGCGTAGGGCAGCCCCAGAACTCCTGCCCCGACCATGGCAGTGACATTGTGGAATGCGGAGTAGTACCACTTGGCGGTGCGGTTGCTGGTGATTGGCAGACGGTCGTCCAGCTCCTCGTGCAGAATCGAGTCCAGATTCTTGTCGTGCACCTGAAAAGTAGGGTTGGGGACTGGGTTAGCGATTGATCTAGCTTGACGAGAAGTGGGTCACAACTTCTATTGGAGCGGGATAGTACATAGGCAGACGGTCGTCCAGCTCCTTGTGCAGAATGACGTCCAGGATTCTTGTTGTGCACCTGAACTTGGGTCATGGATCGGGTTGATATTTGATTCTCTTGCACGGAAGTGGGTTATAGCTTCTCCAAAGCAGAAATGGATATTGCCAGTAGGCAGCTGGACGTCCAGCTCCTCGTTCAGAATGGCGTCCAGGTTCTTGTCATGCACCTGAAGACAGGGTTTAGAATGGGGTTAGGACAGGCGTTGAGTTCGCGAGAAGAGGGTCCACAGCTTCCTTGGAGCAAGAGTCGAAAGTAGGCAGCGAGTGACCAGCTCCTCAAACAGAAGGTGTCAAGGTTTCAGTCGTGCGCCTGAAACCGGGTTTGCGAGCTGGGTCACGAGTCCTTTCAGTCGCTTAAGGAGTTGGACCTTTGATTCAGATTTCGTCCCAGGTACAGGGGAGTTTGAGATCTTAAATCCAGGAGGTTTTGGTTTTCAATACAGTGCCATAGCTTTTCCAAGATTGATACGCGTATGCTATCCTGGAAGGAACCCAGATGTGAAGACACTTTACCAGATTATCAAGAAACAATAATGTACAAAAGCCGGGTCATTTCGGGAGAGTTTCCAGATTCAAATACCAAGGGTTCAGTCCAGATTCCAGTCAGGCTTGCATAACTTTACCGACTCTTTTGGCAAACTGCGAGGTTTGAGCAGGGCAGCTTGCAACGGCTCAGAATACAGTCCTTCCCACTTGGCAAGGGGTGATATCAATCAAATCAAGTGCGTGGAAACACCGCCTAAACCAGGTATAAACACCCTCTACAGACCATCTGCAATCAGGTTCCTCTCAGGCAAGAACTGGCAGCCAGGAGAGAAAGTTGAATCCACTGTCAGGAGATTGTAAGCTCAAGAGTGAAGCATGAAGACTAAGATTGAAAGAAAAAGGCCGAGTATTAAAGACTAGGCCAGGAGTCAGGTCTTTCTATCACTTTGTGAGGAACTTCAGAGGTGTTTTTATTTAGCAAGAAGGGGCATTGACAACAGTTACTGTCTTCACACTTAGATGCAAGACAGCATATTAATCAATCCAACACAGTCTATCAGTGTCCCAGTCTTCATCAAGGTGGGCAAAGGGAGTATGCACCGAGAACAAGCAGCCTTCTTCTAACCAAAGACCCTGCCAAAAAAAGAACATGGGAGTACAGGACAGGAGTTACACGGAATGTTATTCCATATCAGCTCCCAATGAACTGTTCTCCAGAATAACACAGGAAAAATATGGGGTTCTGTGAAATTGCACAAAAGTTACATTCTCGGACTTGCTTCTTATGTTCCTGGATAAAGGAAGGAGTGAGCTAAGGCCTGATCTGTAGGGGAAGAATAATGAGTGAAGAACCAAATGTGCCAATGACCTTGCAGAGTCTGAATTCCTCTCTGGTAAACATCAGTGATATCCCTCTCTGCTGAACATCTGTGATCATGAAGATGGTTCAGTTGGTGAAGTGAACAGATTGGCACCCAACTGTTCTGCGTTCAAAGTCTGTCTTGCAACGGACAATATATACAAGCACTGTATGCTGGGCGCAGAAAGAAGAGTTACTAGCAGGGGCAGTATGTCTGAGATGCAGGGCCCCTAAAGGGCACCCTGCAGGTTTGAGGGGCTTGAGAGAAGGGGTGAATGTAGTAGGAACTACGTGAGAACCAAAAAAGAAAGATTCTCGTTCTTACATCTGGCATGCAGGCTGAGATTGTTTGAAACAGACTGGACATTCTGCCCCTCCAGTATTGTGTGCACGCAAAGTGTCCATCTGAGTTGCTGAAAACAAATACTCTACATCCATGCACTCCAGAGACTCGCTTCCCACAGAGGCTCACAGTGTTTGGAAGGGTACATTTTGAAGAAAGTTTGTTTCTGTCACTTCTTAGTAATATTACCGGTGACCCAACCAACAAAGTTTCCGCATACTCAGCAAATCCCCCCACAGCAATACAAGGAGAACAGCGCTGAAGGAATCGTTGAACATGAGGGATTCAACCAGGGCAATGAGCACACGTTCAAAGTGATCAACCAAAACTTGGATGTCCAAGAGGGGGCAGCTCCAGTCTGATTAACCAAAACGTGAGGCAATCAGCGCAGCTCACCCGTGCAGAGGCGCGCCCCTTTCCGGCGCCCATCTCGCTCATCTCAGCCTCCTTGGCCGCCCCCGCTGGCGCAAAGTCGGACTCCTTTGCGGGCTCCATCATGACGTCCTTTGGCAGCGAGCGGGTGATTGAAGGCTGGGATATGCTGCTTAGTTTGGTGGTTCCACCAACAGTCGCCAACGCCAATGGCAGCAGAGAAGCGTACTTCCTGGATCAAGGAGCGCTGCACGAGAGAGTGCTTCCGCAAATGTGGAGCCTTCAAGCTTCACAATGAATTTGAAGCGTCTGCAACCATTGGCATACGCTAGGCCTACCTGATAGGTAGCTCGTAATGTGGGGTAGGTAGTACTAGTACGTTGGAGCCGGCCAGGCTTCTTTCTCGCGTGCTCCAGCCTCGTATCTCGCCCATTGAATGCGACCTAGCGGACTCGTGCGGCGAAACGGGCAGAGGCATAATGATCGCACACAGCTCAGCAAATGCAGCTGAGCGCCCCTGGATGCAACAGCGGCCAATAACGAGTCGCCAGATGGCAACCAGTCATCTGTTTGACTGGACTCGTGAGACGGATGACCTGACATTTGAGCAATCTTGGTATCTCGTCGGAGAAGCGTTCTGTACCTTCCTGCTGCAGAGCTTTCGACGAGGAATGAATAATAGACTCTTCGTCGAAAGCTTGGTCGATTGATCCTGACGTCATTTTCACCGTTGCACGCGGCCCCATATATTTGGGTGGATGACAAGTCACCAAAGCAACACGTGGCAGCTTGCCATACATGCGAGCCTGCGGGATCATCTTCTGACGCACACCTGAGGCTGTGGTCTTGTACCCGGTACAATATTGCGTATTAGAATTTAGGATGGATTAGCTCCCGCCCGGGGCAGTCCCCCTGGCTCGTGAGTCCCTTATAATCTCTGGTGCTCAAGTGCCTGGTAAGGTCTGGAGCGGGCTCCCTGGGAGTCCATGAACTTGGGTACATACTACAGAGTATAAGGCAACAGGAGGCGAGAACGGTCGGGAACGGTCAAGTTCTGTGCTGAGTCGGAGGCTTGAAAGTGTGCTGACCAAGCCTCTGTAACCTTGTTTCAGAACTTGAAGTCTTCTGCAGGGGCGCCGAATGTCGTTTCTACTGAGAATCAGAATACTTTGGTGAAGGAGGCGTGTCATAGGACGCACAGAAAGGGTTGACGACAAGACGTTGGAGCTTTGACAGTAGACCTTTAGTCCCCAAGTTCATGCTTTTGCGACAATGGCTGCTGATGCGCACGTCGCTCCGGCTCGCTTCACCACACGGGCAATGCCTGAGCTATTTCAGGGGCAAGACAGCCGGCCTCTGACGTTCTCATGGCTTTCTGCCGAGAACTTCGTCAAGGAGACGCTTCAAGCTGGTGCGCTTGCTCACCTAAGCACGCCCCCTTTGCACCGTTCCGGAGGTTTAAGGAGCGCGAGGTTTGAGGTGGACAAAGTTTCGGGAAGGAGGGGGTTGAGGTTCCTGCTTGGAAGCCCTCCAATGGGGTCTGGAAACTTAGCATTCCAGGTCTGTGCAACTTCCTACCACCCGGCTAAGCCCCTCTCTGTTTCCTCGCGTACGTTTAAACTGAAAACCTATAAATGTTGGTCCCTTTTCATTGTGAAACATTTACATCAAATCTAACGTTTGTTGTACGGTCTGTGCTTTAGATCTGGTCCCCTGAAGGTTTGCACAAATGGTGCAAGTGTTGCCAGCATCTTGTCTCTTGCGCACATGAGGAGCTTATGCTCAAGGAAGCAAGGCGGCTAGCCGACATTCAACATCCTGTGTGATGTAGTGCCACTATCTTGTCTGTTGAATAATGTAAAATACACAATGCCATTCTGCTTTGGGTTAGACTGCAAACCATAGGTGCTGACGACTGTGGAGCCTTGGTAGAATGCATATGTTCTGTTGCATTGCAGCACCATTTTAAGCGCTGGTCTGGTCAGTTGCATTTTTGCGAGTCTCACGCTTCTCCTCCTCTCTCCCTGCAGACTGAAGTTTGTACAGCAGAACCACTGGCCACAGAACCTGGCACTGAGTGTCCCTTCAAACCAGTTCCTGACAACAGTCCTGTGCGCCGCTCTTTAGCTAACCGCGCGGCAAAGCAAACACCAGAGAAACGGTGGAGCAGGCACTCAGAGCGGCACTTTGTGAACAAAAATGGCCACCGGATATACACGCAGCAGTGGACACCGGACGGGACACCAATGAAGTGAGTGCCACAGCTTAATGGAAAGACAGGCGCTAGCTTCCTTGCTGTCTGGTTAAGAAGTGGGGATCAACTGCCGTTGTGTATTTCTTGTTTAAAGGACAGTCTTTGTTTCTGGCATAGCGCCGTTTGCTCGTTCATTATCTTACGCAGGTCCAGTATCTGTATAGCACTGCTGCACCAGCTGAGTTCTGCAGCAGTTAAACCTCTGCTTGGATGATGGCTTGTCTTCTCCTGGATTTTGTAAGGTCTGAGCTTTTGTCTGGTAGGCTCTGAGAAGCTTCACAAAGCTAGAAGATTCTTTGAGATGGACCTGTGAACCTCAAGCCATGGTGGACTCTCCATTTTTTGGGAAACTGGTGAGCCAAGTTGAGACAAATTCTGAGCTGCGTTGGTACTGCTGGCTACAGGGCCGCTGTCGTTGTCTTCCATGGTCTGAACGAGCACAGTGGCAGATACAAGCACCTAGCACGACAGCTGACGAAGCAAGGTTACGGGGTCTTTGGCATGGATTGGTATGGTGAGACTCTGTTCCAAACTTTTTGGACCAGCATTTAAGTGCATTCAGGCAACTTAGCGGTGCTTTTTCTGCACAGAATTCACATTGACGCCGAGTCTGTGCATCCCGCCAGGCTGAAATGCGATTGAGCTTAGAGACATACGAACTGTGCTTTTCTTCCCCCAACTTTATTTGCAGACTTTGCCGGCATGGATAGTAAAGGCCACGGTTTGAAAATCAGGCCAAACCTTTTTCAAACTACCAGGCTCGCTAGACAAGGCAAGCCAAAACCAGTGGCAATAGAGTTTCTCGGATCGGTTCTCGGATCGGAATATTCTAAAAAGACCTTTCCTTGAGAAGAAACAGACAGGGGCTGATAGAACTTCTGGACTAAAAATGCTTGTTCCCCTGCCTGCTTGTGCAAGCGGTGGAGCGAAGCTCGAAAAAGGCAAATGATTCTTGTTGCATCCTCGCTCATACTCTCCCCACGCTTGTAGGTCATGGACGAAGCGACGGGCTACATGGTTTCGTTGACCGCCTCGATAACACAGTCCAGGACGCCGTAAGTTGTCTCCCCATGACTTTACTCTTTCGGTCCACTTCCTGTCATATGCTTCGGTTCCAATTCGTTTTTGAGTGCTCATGCTAAAACTTTGTTACCCCGAAACTCCGTGTCGGGTCTGTCCTTCATCGTGATATGTGGTTTTCTTTGGCTTTTCATGTCGTTTAACGATTGGACTTGACGGGAATTCATGGTTGAGACCTACCGACTCTGCGAAGCTCCAGTGACGTTCTTCGGATCTAATCATGGCTGTTTCCTGGAATGCGAAGCAAGGGAGCAACTGCGGCAATTCTATACTGGAGTCGAGGACTTCCTCTCACAACATGACAGATTGAGAGTTTATCCGGGCACATAAACGACAAATTGGACAGGGAGACGACAGTTAGGAATCTTGAGAGATGCAAGATTCTGATATCCCTCGGGCTTGCAGGGAGCCTATCTGAAGATGGTGAAGCGGCTGAATCCAGGGGTGCCGTGCTTCGTGTACGGGCACTCCACTGGTGCAGCTATTGCGCTCAAGGTAACGGTTCATCTCTCCAACTCGTTTCTAGTTTCCAACTTTGAGCTGTTCGCCTCGACTTGGGTCTGGATGCGCTGCGCCTGACTTTGACGAAAGCATTCTGAAGTCAACCGAGTTTTTGGAAGAGTGCGAACTGAAGTGCCCTTACTCTCTGGCGTTTGGACATGATACCGGACTGAAAACCGAAGTGCCCTTTTCTTAAAATTTGAAGTAGCTTTACGTCCTTGGCACCTACCCAGGGAGACTTTCCGCGGTTCAATAATAGTTTATCAGTAGTCGTATCGAAAGAAACAACATCGTGCATTTGCAATCAAAAAGACTGCGCAAGAAAAGAGGCTGCACTTTCAGGCCACCTGCTTCGTCGATATCAAGCGAACCAGTGCCGACTCCTCGATACTGCATTCCTGCAGGCTACGCAAACTTCCCCCCGGAGCGAGCTCGCCGGTCTCGTTCTCACCGCCCCCGCTATCGCAATCCAGCCACCTCATCCAGTCCTTGCTGTAAGTACTGCCACTGATCTTCGAATCCAGGAGGCGGTCGCAAACGGGGTCGAGGATTTGTTTCGTACGAACGTGCATTGCAACGCTAAGGAGCATGCAGATCACCAACTTCAGGATTCTGGCACCCGGCGGATCAAGTAGGATTTATCACGCAGGGGGCAATTGCCAACGGGTCCCCTTTGCGGAGCACTTTGTTGGGACCGTTCATATTGAGCTTCCGAGGTTGGGTTTCGAGCCAACCGGGATTTCAGTTCAGATGTTGTTAATCCATTTGCCTCCAAGCTGCGAGAGTTTCACAAGGAAGCCAGAACCGGAAGGAGCATAAGTAGCGGCGAAGAAACAAGGGACACGCTCTTTTCCACTGTCCCTCTTCCTGATCGCAATCACGGAAACCACTTTCTTTCCTTTTTCTTTCTCGTCTGCCTTCTTGCCCGTCTGTCCAATGGCATTATTCAGTCGTTTCTCTGTCACAGCACAATTGTTCGCCACTTCTCCAATCCCTTCTCTCGCGAAAGGAAGTAGCCTCCTCACAGTCTGTCTCTTGCCCGCAGACTCTGCTGCCGTTCTTCTCCGAGGTCGTCCCCACGCTCCAGGTTGAGGCCGCCAACCGGTCGGACATCAAAAACTCCCGGGATCCAGCCTCTCTTCTCGACAAGTACAGCGATCCCCTGGTTTACACAGGCAGTATACGCGTGCGCACCGGCAGTGAAGTCCTCAGGTATGGGACGTCCTGGCTGGTCGGTTGTCGCTAGGAAAGAGTTTCGGTCTTGATTTGTTGTTTCAATCGGTTCGAATTTCTCAATGTGTCTTTCCTTGTTGTGTTGCGAGAGTTGTCTGTGGTTCCTGAATCAACTCAAGCCGATAGGAGTGTAAAGCGTTGAGAGATCGATAAGTCGGACGCTCAGGCTTGCCCTTTTCCCATGTTTACGTGGTGCTGATGACGAGCAGATTAAGGACTAGCCTACTCAAGCATCGGGACTTCGTCGCACGTTTGGGCAGTTTGGTTGACATGCTCCTTTTCAGATACTTTGCTCAGCTTTTTTCCTCCCTCACACCATTTTCGTTCCGCAGGATTGCTTCGGACGTCCGGCAGAACCTGCACCGCGTCCGGCACCCCTTCTTCGTATGCCACGGGACGGGCGACCGGGTGACGCTCCCCGAGGGTTCCCACGAGCTGTTCCGGCGGGCCCCGGTCGCCCAGAAGAAGCTCAAGCTGTACCCCGGGTGCTTGCACGACCTGCTGCTGGAGCCCGAGAAAGACGAGCTCGTGCGAGACGTTGTAAGCTGGATGGACGGGCGGTTAAATGAGGGGGAAAATGGCGAGGAGGAGTTGAGTGTGAGTGGAAGACGAGAGGAGAAGAGTGTGAGGGGTGGAAGCGTTGGGCTGGAAATGGTGGAGCGCTGCTGATTGGGTTGCCGCGGAGTCGATTGTGAGGGGATACGCAAGCAAGCACTTGTTACCTAGGAGGTGGATGTCCAATTTTGTCCGCTCTGGAAAGGTACAAGGTATGCTGCTTGCTCCAGAGCGGGCTGAATTGATTTTTGACGCACAGTGGCTACCAGAAGCCATATAGTCCTTGGGGTGAGGAAAGCCCAGGATCTGCTGCTAGGCTCGTAGGCTTGTAGCTAGGAGCCCACAAGGCAATTGAGGTCCCCGAACAAATATAGCAGCGTAATTGGCGAGGGGTTTACATTAGATTGTAACAATGATAAGACCGAGTAGGAGGTTGACGAGAATTGGAATCGAGCCGCCTGTGCTACATAAAGGGCGCGGCTGGTGTGTAACAGTACGGTACTTGCCCTCTGATAAGTGTCAGGAGATTGCGATGAATTAGCGACTGTCATGTGTAAGGACAACAGAGCAATTTTAACCAGTCTGTCCATGTAATGTAGCCTCGAACATGCGATTTTTGCAGTCTAGCTGACCGCGTGGCTGTCTAGAGTATACTTCAAAACGTTCCAATTAATCAGCCGCTGAGCAGAAAAACCCGGCAGTGACAGTACTAGACTGTGTTTTATGTGTGTGACATCGAGACTATATATGCATCAAAATCTGGTTTATGATAGTACGTGGATATCCTGGGGTTTAAAGTCAAGTGTGTACCTGAATCCTAGCTCACCTTATACGCGGTATCATGCATGCAGATCTGCATGCAATGTGTCATGCATGTTAACCGGTCTATAGCTGCATCAACGCATAGCTCGATATGCCAATATCAATTCACGTGTATACTCGATGCCAAAATTCATGCACGTACTGTACACGATCTGGCACTGTGCGTAATAGCCAGCCGCCGCGCTAAATTGAATTCCATGCAGTGTATGCTGTGCAGTGTACATTGTCACTATGAATAAGTAGTTGCCAATTATATAATATTGAATAACAAGCATGCCATGGTTCTAAACCCAAAGATCTTGCTCAAGATAGATTCTGCATCATGCAAGGCGAATTGAGACCCCATGTGTTAATTAAGTGCATAGAGCTGCGCTCCCCGGCCATGTGGATTGGCGTGGGCGGCTGCTTCAAAGCCGGCCACTGCCATGTATGATCTTTATATTGGATCGCCATGCACGTCAAGGCTGATTGATGCCTGCGCATATCGAAAGCAGCCCCCAAACCATTACTGCAAAAGGATTGATTCAATTCAGTCTCAATGACAATCCTTAATAAGTTGACAATCATTCGTGCTGTGCAAACCTGTCTGGCGGCGACACCCAGCAGTTGTCGACTAGAGGAAATGGGATCTGTATCTCGTATGCCTAAGGAGTGGTGCGGACATGCTATGATCCAGACATATACAGAAAGTGCACATCATGGAACTGTGACCTATGTGACCCATGTCATGTGAGGCCCTAAGCGTCGCAGCCTACATGACCCTTGTACGTGGGCGGCCCCAACAACTTGTACTTTTCAAAAATCGTGCAATTGTCTGAGGCTGGCACATCAGATGCAACTGGTTGCAAAATGGAGCAGAACACCCGGCTGTCAAGATCGCTAGACCCAGGCTTGCAATCATCAAAAGCGGAAGGCATGTATGCAAAGACATTTTACAAGCTTTGAAACAATATTGAATCTGATTCCGGCGAGCATTGCTGATTGTCCTGTGTAACTATGTGACCACCTTGACCTGCCTTTCAATACCTGCGACTTGTGAACGTTGTTAGGTGAATAAATCTTGTGATCCTAAGCGGAACCATGTTCTTGTGTATGATATCATGGTCAGTAAAACGAAGAGCTAATACTCTGCTTCTCAAACACGTTGTCCATGTCCTGGTTGGGCTGGTAAGTAACAATACAACATACTCCCTGCCAATGTTAAGATAAACTCGAAAACTGAATCGTGAAGCTATACTCCCGAGACATCGCTTCACTCAACTTCTCCTTTCGTGCGTCCACTCCTTTCGCAAAGAAGTATTTCACCCGCAGCAACACGTCATTGATCTTGACTTTGCTGTCACGTCCTTTCTTCACTGGCTTCCCTGCTCGGCTGTCGGACCAATCCATATCAAGATAGAAGTTGTGTTGTACAAAGTTGAACTTGGGCGGATCCAACAGCTGATGCGAGACATCATTGATCGCTATCCTCTTCATCACCACCACAAACTCCGGCTTTGCTTTGTGCATCAACCTCAACTTGCAGAAAAGCTCCTCCCCATCCGTGCGTTCAACCAACGCTTGAAGTGCGTTGCACAGACGGGCCTCAGCCTCAGGCTTGCACACACCCGTACAGTCGCCCCGGTAGCGCTTCCCTCCACTTGAATCAGCGACCATTCTGTCAAGGCGCACTGTTTTTCCGTCAGCAGACTGGAAGAGGATGCCTTCATCCCCCAGGCTCACATCAACCAGCACAACGTAGTCATCAAGCTCAGGGTTTTGAGCGCCCAATCCCAGGGGGTTGAACTCTGCAACTCTGCGCCCTTCTTCTTTCCCCCTCTCTTCGACAAGCTCGTCCGCGCGTTGCAAGCGGAAAAACAGGTGCTTGTAAGACTTGTACTGCGCGGAAAAGATCTTCTTTGCTGGGGACACCAGGATCGAAGGGCAGGCACGCTCGCACCACCCCTGCCAAAGTTGTCCGTGCCTAGTTACAACCCACCGCTGCAGTGTCTTGGAAACGCACTCCAAGCTGCACATATCTCGCAGCGGCAAAAGATCCAGGATCTTGTTGAACACTGGCTCGTGGAGAGTCTCCATCCTGAGAGCGTTTGCTTGCGCTGCGCCGATTGGCACTAAAGCAGCGCTCCTCTCACAATCCACTTATGGCAAATGCTGCCAAAACCCTGCCAAAATTAGGTAACCTCGCATATCCTCGTCTCCCCAGCGATTTGGATCCTGGAATGCGAGAGCCTCAGGTCCAGCCTGAGGAGATGATCAACGTACGAGTTGAACCAGGATCTGCAGTTTTGCCGCCATTTCTCGCGGCTGCTAGAGCTTGACTCCTCGTTGGCCCATTGGCACGCAATCTTAAATGTTTCCGGGGGCTGGTTCGAGCGGTCTTGGTTACCCCCCGCCTAGTTCAGTTGCACACGAGGATGGATGCAGGTCCGACATCGGGAATCGACTTGCGATACCAGAATATCTGGCCATGTTCTTCACAACCTTTACCGGCGTCGAAGGGGCCCCCATAGTTTGGGCTAGACCATAAGCCCATCGTGGCGCAACCTAATTGATTGCGCCAATTGGGGTTGCGCCGGATTTTGCCAATATTTCGCCCAGAGCCCCTATTTCGCCAACTCGGCGCAATTCTCAAAAAAATCCGCTTATATGCGCATAAGTTAACACTTTCAAGACAAAAGTTGGTCAAAATCAGACCGAGAGCAGTCGACATCGCGGTTTTGAATCAAAGAATTGACTTCGTAGATTTTGCATATTGCTTTGCAAAGATTTGTATAAGGAGAAAGAAGCTTTTACCATAAGCGGCAAGCTGAAGGCCCTTGTATTTCGCCAATTTCGCCGGAATGCGCCAATCGGTGCATTTTAAATCAGGGTTAGTGCATAGCGGGTTTGCATTTCGCCACGATCTCTGTATAGTCTATACGCGCGACCGCCGCCCCCAGAAGGTTGGCACGCCGTGTCCGATCACTCCTAAATATCATGAAAGCGCCACAGCCCATCATGTGTTCGACTTGATCGCAATTCAAGGGACGAGGAAAAGTCGACCGTCACATGCTTTTGAGCCATGTGTGAAGGTGCCGTGCGTCATCATTTTCTCCATACTCACACAGCGAGATCTGTCCTGTTGTATGCACATAGCGTTTAAGTTTGTTTGGAGTGTATACTAAAAGGGCGCGTGGCGTGGCATCCCAGGCTCGGGGTTTCAAAGGAGTTTAACGCAGGCTGAGTTGACATGGGAAATCACTTGCAGCAAGCCAACAAAGTCTGCATGATGGGAACTTTCATAGGACTAATCGAAACCATGCGTAGTCAAACAGCCCATGCGATCCGAGTACTGACGGAGTCCCAAGCAACACAACGAGATAGACAAGACTCGTCAGGGCTGTCGAAATGGCCCCCGTCCATGTAAAGAAATTGCTCGCAATGTTACGAGAATCAAATTGGTAAAGAGGCCACCACCACATGCCGCATCCGACTGACCGGCAACGTGCCGACGATATTGCGGTCTTATCAAGCATCAACTACCTCGATGCATGGGATGACCGCAGCGAGGTTTTCAGGATGGCAGGAAGACTCCTTGGCTGCAACAAAAGAAACTTAGTTTCAGAAGGAGACATATTTTCACTTGCGCTGCGCATTTGGAACACCAGGCAAAGGAAGCTCTTGGCTTTCCAGACTCAGGCTTGGGTTGAGAATTCTTACGGCAACCGGCAAAACATTGAGGAGTAAGACTTGCTCGAGTGGAGTCTCGATCGGCCCGGGCTTTCATTGCAAATTGCAGACACGACGGCGGACACGGATTTCCGTAAAACAAGTCGCGATGACCTAAGGAAAACTTCGGTCTTCTTGCAAAAGTCGGTGCTATACCACATAAGAATTTCAAAGAAGGGATCGGTTCCCTCTCAGGAGTAAGAGCGTGCGCCCCATGATCCTTCTCTTCATACTTTGTCGGCGATTGAAAGAGGTTTTGAGACATCAAGGGCAGACAATCTCACAACCTTCTGCGCCTTTCCGATCAATTATAGCTCCAAATCCAAACCTCTCAGCAGTTTTTCAAAAAGGTGGCGACAACCAGAAAGTGTTTTCGAAAGGGCAAACGAGTCAGAAAGATGGCAACAATCAGAGCATTCTTTCAAGATTCAAACGGAACTTACCACCGGTGCCAAACCCGTAGATACGCGGACTGCCTCCGATCGTCTCTGGTGACGCTGCACCAGAGGGGGCTTCTCGAGCGGTAGGGACCGGAGCTCCGCGTACGAAGGCAGAGGTATGGAGTCCACCAGGTCTTCTGCAAAGGCGCAAAGAAACGGTGTCAATAATCGCTTGTTGGGCAAAAGCGTCTGCGCAGGCGACCTCGTTTACTGAAAACTGACTATAAAAGTCGCTGCAAACGAGTACGGAACATGGACTTCGTGACAATCTGGGAGTTTGCGGTCAGAAGTAACCTTCTGAATCGGCAGGAGCTGCGGCTCAAAATGCAGTGGCGCCACTGAAAATCGCAAGAGCATTTGATTTCGTCTTGTTGAATCCTAGCCTTCTGCATTTTCGTTCTCAATTTGATCCACGTTCCTGTTTTTCAGCGCCGTCGCTTGACTCGGACGACGTCGGTCCAGCGTCTCCCACGCAATGCAAAGCGACAGCTAAAAGCGGTCAATGGTCCGGCAATGCAAAGCGACGGCTAAAAGAGGTCAACGGTCCGCAAGGGCACAGTCGCCGGTTCTCACCGTCGAACGATGGCAAGCTTATTTCGAAAAACTCTGGCTTGCTTGCCGAAGCTTCCGGCGACTTCCGGCCCGGTTCCGCTGAGCGGCTCTCATAACGGAACGGTGATGCCACCGGCGGAGGAGAAGGCGCCACGTGGCTCGCGCCGGGAGGCAGGACTTCCAGGAGCTTTTGCACATGCAGCTGTTCGAAGGGAGGAAACGGTTCGTTTGAAGGGACATTTGGAGCAATACACGCCGGAATCCGCTCGGTGGCTTCGAGCGGAACCTATGTTAATACTTGTGAGGCCTCGACAGCTGAACGTAAAGAGCTAAAGAGTGTGCGAGATGAATATTTGCAGAAACCGTGCAAAGAAAGGGGAGACAGACTCCAAGACCGTGCGATCTTTCGCTCGATCATCGTGTGCCTCCCTTCCTCCCCGAAGCAACATAGACTTGCTTTGAACTCTTTCGCTTTTGCTTTGAGCCCAGTCCCGTTGCATTTCGTGCATTTCGAATGAAGCAAGACCGTCCCTTCATCAGTCAAGAGCCACCCAGTAACAGAGATCAGCAGCTTCCTTACCTGCAGCCCCGTAAGAATAGTCGAGGCATGGGCCTTAAACTCAGCGAAGTCGGACTTCAAGCTCCGGTTCTCAGCGAGGCATGTCTGCAAGCCCTGTAAAAAGAAAGCAGATTCAACATTCATCTTAAGGTGATGGCGAAGAGGTATCTGAGTAAATTGAGCAAGAAGGACGAAGTAATGTAGTCGCAGGCAATCATAGATTTAGTGGAATAAGGCTTAAGCCGTGCGGCAACGCTGCAAAACCATAACGGCACCCTTTTCTCAAGGATCCTAGCTGAAGTGCGCGCAGAGTTAAAGGCAGACAGTAGTACCGAAGCAGTTGTTGCTTTTCGTATCGTGCGACATACATCAGACTCGAACCAATCTGATGAGACCTCCGGATTGCATCCACATAGATCTCGTAGCTCGCCCTCCATCTCTCGCAATCCATTCTCCTCTGGGAGCTCCTCTGCAAAGCCGGAAGGACGGAACACAGAACGGAAAGGCTGACAGACAAGCTTACCTGAGAGAGCCGTTCCAAGTGCGCCATCGTATCCACCGGCGAGACGCCTGCCAACGCACTCGGCCTCCCTGCTTCAAACGGCGTCCGCTCCACCACAGCCGGCCGCCTCCCCGGGACAGTCCCCCCGGGCGCTTTCCCAGGCTCAGCACCAGCCTCTTTAGGCTCCGGTTTCTCCCCCGGTTCATTCCCCCGGTCTCTCCCCGGGTCACTGCCATGAGCGGCGTTTCCAGCCGGGACTGATTGCCGGTCTCCATTTCCTGCATCCATAGGCGCACCCACCGACCGGTGCGCCGCTGCGCCGCTCGGTTCTGTCGGCCCCCCTGCAACATATTGCCTGAGAAGTACTTCCACGCCTGCGGCAGTACCCCCCGGTGCAGCAACTTCGCTTCGAGTTTCACCTTGTGATTGATGCTCTGGACGTTCACTATGTTCGACTGCGCTGTCGGACTGTGGCACTGCAGCTCTCGAGTGATCTAAACCGTCCGTCGCGGCGCCGGACCGATCATCTGCTGGCGTGCTTCCCCTTCTCGGTGCAAAGCCGCTCTGCTCACTTAAACTACCCCGCTCCGCTGCAGAAACTTCTTCACCAGCAACAGGGGACCCCACGTCATGTCTCTGCCCCCCCTCTTGTTCCCCCCCTCGACTCTCTGCACGCTCTTCCATTCCGGTGCCCTCCTTCCCCTCCCTATCCTTAACAGACCCCCCACGCCCCATTCCCGAGGAACCGGGACCCTCCGCTTCGCTAAGCTCCTCAACTGGGCCCACAGCACCGCTGCCCCGCAACCCGCCCACTGCATGGCTGTCTATCTTTGCCTCCAAGTCCCGGAAGCCCCTTTCTAACTCCCCCAACAGCCCCTCGTCAACACCCCTGCCGACTCTTCCGTCGTTCCCCCCTCTGCTCCTCTCGTCGGACCCTCCTCTGCCGCTTCCGTCGGAACCCCCTCTGCCCCGTTCTTCGGACCCTCCCCTCCGAGCCTCCCCCTGAGAAGCCTCTGTTTCTGACATGAATTGCGTACTGCCGCCATCCCCCCGCTTCTTTCTTTTCGCCAGGCTCTGAATCAACCGCTGCCTCGCCTCAAACCTCGACACCTCCTCGTCAAAATCAACAACCCCCGTCACACCTACTGCCGGTCCCGACTCGTCCTTTGCCGTTTCTTGCTGCGACGCCTGCGCAAGTTCTTTCTCTTCCCCCCTTTCCTTAGTTTCTGACCAATCCCCTTGACCCTCGTCGTCTGCCACCTGGCGCTCCCTCATTGGCTGCCGGAGAGGACTGCGGGAATGTTCCAGGTGTTCGAGAAAGTTAGGCGTGCCACCCGGGCGCCACGGCCGCGGCTTCTCCTGGTGTCTCTGGCCCCCCTGCGAGCTCTCCTCGCTGATGAGCCTCGGCTGAGCGATGTAGCTGTGGAAACGGCCCCTCTCATCATAGCCTGCGACGTGGAATGATTAGGTACGTCACGTACATCCAAAGCAAGATGTGGACTTGATCAATGGAACCAGGGTACTGCATTTTGCAGCCAGAGGTGCTGCAAAGGCCATGTTTGAGTCTGAAGCGCTAGCTGTTTTGTCGAGTGCCACATCCTTGCAAAGAGAAGAGCATAAACTGCTGTACAGTGTCAATGAAACGCAAGCTAATGGGGACTTCTCAAGATGGACATAGTGCTCTGTGCTCCAGTGGTGTGCAGGTCCATGGGAGGTCTGTTTCACCACTTCTGTTACCAAGCTTCTGGTAAACTGGGGTGTTTTCATTGTGCAACGGTCTGTCCGAATCCTCTCCTACCGATCATTATGCAACCTGGGGATCAAAGACGGGCATCAAGTAGGAGCTTCTGGCCTCACCAAATTGGGGCACCCAATTCTCAACATCTGAGCGGGGCACGCGCACCGCGTTCTTGGAAACCACCGCTTGCTTTCGCTCCTCTATTTCTGCCTCAGTCAGCTTGTACTGGGACAGATCATGGATAGTTTCCTGCCAAAGTACAAAATTCAGCAAGATGGAAAAAGGAACCATCAGAAAACATGACGTTTACCATGACCTTGAAAGTGATGTCAAAGAAGATGGAAAGAGGTCAATCTGCATGGAATCAGCCCCACTGGAGTGCTAAAAGTGGACAGGATTGCGTCTGAACATCAAGGAATTACCACATGTTCAGCCTTCGATGAATGACTCTTGCTCAGTGCTGTGCTTCCATTCCCTAAGAATCAAAAATCCAGACCTCATGAAGCACCCTCCGATAGCCGCGTAGCCTATACAGGAGTGCAGAAAGATGTGATTCGGCTCCAAGGTAGACAAGCGTCACTTGGGACTTCAGCAATCTAAAAACATTGGTGGTAGAGTCTGTGCAGTGTGAAGATAAAGAATCTTCCCGTTGCAGTTTTGACAGGGCAACAAAAAGTTTGGTGTACTCAAACCCACATGTTTCAACACCCACACTTCATTATCAAACAAAGAATGCACAAAAGAATCCTCACATCCCAGTCTGGCCGCGGCCTCCTCTTTCTCTCTTTACCCCCACTGTGCTCAGCGTTCCGGCCCTTGCGCAGGCTAGGTGGCCCCAAGTCCCGGTAGGTGAGGAACCACTGCGTGCCTGCCTTGGACCTCTTCATTGCTGCAGAGTTACCTGACTAGTCTTGCTGTAAACAATCTTGAGCCTCCATCAAATAGCATCTGCTCTTCAAAGCCTGCGTCAGACTAATCTAGTCAAAACTCCCCATCAGCAGCCTGCTCAAAATACGCCTTGACTGGAAACAGCAACCGTTTGCAAGGGTGCTTCATTCAGCAGCATCTGCTTTCTCTCAAGGATGCACAAAAGCCAACAGATTCTTTGCGGTAAAAGCCCTTTGCTTTGCCTGGCAGCAAGCTTGCCTTCCCTTCTGTCAACTTGAAGTATTTAAGACTGGAAAGCGGAGCAGGCAATTGCAATCCGAAGTCCACATCCCTAATCTGGCTGAAATGATGCTGCTGACACCAGCAATTCTTCTCCCAGATTCTCAGGAAAGCGCGCCTTCATCTAATGCCCCATTGCTTCTGAGCAGCGTGTGCCTCCTTGCCTTGCCTTCCGTGTTTTCACCGCTGTTCTTCTGTGCTCCACCCTCCCTGTCTTGGACTCTTGGTGGAAACTTCACCTCTAGAACGACTGCCTTGAAGGCAAAGGTACCTACCTGCCCTAATCTGCACATAATAGTATGACCACTGCCTTTAGACTGCTAGGTATAGGACAACACGATTCAAATGGGAATGCTCGATTTGGATCCATGCGCGATCATCGGATGGTCACAAACGCTTGTATTCATATTTCGAAACCGGTTGAAGCTGACGGTTGAAAAGTTGTCGCCTTGCGATGTCAAAGGTCCGTCGGATAAATATCTTGGACGGCTCAGATCCCCGCACCTTTGTGTCTACAGGTCTTGGTTTCGAAGCTCATTGAATGCTGAGCCGTGAAGCCGTTCAACGGTGGCGAGCTGCTGCTGTTTCTGTTTAACCTGAATACGTTGATCGCAAGCCAGGCTTTTCACTCTGCCACTTGGTATTTTGGGTATCACTCGCGCTGATAGCATATAATAGCTGTTGAAAAGCTGCCGCCACTTTGTATGCAGTGGGGCGGCCGCACAATTAATGCGCCCTCGAACATATTTGCGTAGGTGCCGAACAGCTTGGCCAGCCGCAATTTGCATGCCAGCGAGCTTGCAGCGGCAGACGCTTTGATATGCGCGTGAAACGCATGGTGCATGGAGATGTGACGTGTGCATGCGAAGGATCAGATACAAAAGATATGACAATTGCAACAGTGCAACCGATGCAATTTCAGACCGCCTGAATCATGATCGCAGTTAATGGTCCGTGACAAAGAAAGGATGAAGTCTAAGCGCTGGCATGTTTTTCAGTTGAGCCCGGGTTTTAAACGTGGTTTGAAATTGATTGGTCCTTTTGCGATGCAATGCAAGCGCGACGCGTACTTGACATGCATTAGCAAATTGACATAAGAACCAACGTAAAAGAGACCACTTCCGTTCTCCATCATGGCATGCTACAGGTAACCATGTTTCGTACCATGCCACTTGCACGTGGCAGCTAATGCAAGTGGCCGCCCTCGAGGAATGAAAACAAAAGAGGGGGCTGCAAGGCAAATCCGATTTCCGAGAGCTTTGATCACGAGTGCCATCGATCGGGTATACATAATAAACACGTTATCAGCAGATAAACAAGCGCTGTTCAAGTCTCCGCCTCTTGAGCGCCCCCAAGTAGTTGACGTCTCCTAGTAGGACGCCAAGATCCCCTGTCACCAGAGAAAGGGTAATTTCATTTGCCTTAGTCGGACCCCAACACATCACGGATTCACAATTCTCACACTGCCGGACTCGTTTTGACACTCGTCACTATGGAGCGTTGTTGCTTAGGTTTTACCAACTTGTGAGCATCGGAAGATTATATAGCGGCGCTCACCGAACTTAAAAGAATCACCCAGGAGACATCAGAGAGTCTCGTTAAATCACGTGTCTCGTCCGCTTGACCGAATTTTAGTATACAGAGGGCACGTGTGATACATGGTCGCCCTCCATAAATCAGAAACAGAACCCGACAATCAACCGGACGAATGACAGCCCACTAGCCTGAGATTGGTTCAGATTGTCCCATATAAGCGGAGCTCACCTTCGAATATTGTATGGACCAGCTGCAACCCCTCCACAACCAGCTCCGCGCCCAGAATGCCGTCCGGCCGGGTGTCCAGCGCGCACAATACCCCAGGCGCGCGCGCTCGCGCCACAGAAGCCTCTCTGGGCGCCAGCCAGAGCAGGTTGCGTAGGTTCATGGTTTCGTCGTAGCGGACCTTCGAACCTGCACAGGTCGAAGAACCACAGCCAGCTGGTCGCCGTTCGAACGACTTCCTTTTGCTGGTGTTCCGATCGTTTACCGTAGCGGACATGCTGTAAGTCTTACGTTGTTTCGAACGCTTGGTGAAGATCTTAAAGCGATTGCAGCATTCTGGTTTCTGCTTTGAAGTTGACCAGCAGAGACTAGCGCTCCCATCAGCAATCTTGAATCTTGAGTTTCTCCGTTCGTGTCAAGAGCATTACCTGACCGCACAATCCGTTGATGCATCAAGTACGGCTTTGAGATGGGAACGTTGCTGTTGCGTGAGGCCGAAGCGTCGGGATTGTCAAATATCCACGCGAAAGAAAAAGCAAAATACCGATGAGATTTTCGTTTCAGCTTCGGGCGAGTCTGCTTAGTCGCAAGCTCCACTATGGCGATATTTGTGCAAAAAAGACTCGGCATCGGAATCAACTATGAATGGATTACGGCCTCTCATTTAAAGAATTACCTCGCTGGCAGTAGCCCAGGTTGACCGGGAACGCCTCCGGGTCTTCTGCCGGGTATTCGCGAGCGTGGAAACTGCACGAAGTGACGTCACAGATCAGCTGCAGGGGGACGAAGGGACATCGCATGCTTGAGAATGATCAAATCCAAAAGAAGCATTAAGCTCCATTGACAAGCTGCACTCCGAAAGAGTTGTGCAACAACCAAGATCAAGCTAGGGATATTTCTAGCACAGGACTCTTAGTCAGACAGGTGCTCGCATCCAGTAAGTGGTCAGGAGATCTACAACAGTGGAATGGCTTGAAAGACCCCATTTCGAACATGAGACGAGAATCCAAAAATGGTCGAACGACGGGCAAATGGTGACTCAGCTTCAAAAGCGCAAACTTTCGCGAAGAGCGAACACGAGGATATAAACGTAATGAACAGCTCACAGGATGCCAAACCGACGGCTCTCGCGCGCGTACAGAAAGTGTCCGTGGAAAAGGTCGAAGCGGCTGAGGTTGACGGGGAAGCCAGCGACCGGGGCCGTAGCCGCAATTGCCTCGAATAGAAGCGCGAAGTAACGGCTCACAACCTGAAAGCGTACCGAAATCAAGTCTCAGGATCTGGGCAAGGTACCAACACGCTGGCGAAAACTGAGATCCCTTGGAAGATGTAGCATGGTGCCTTCTTTTGCGAGATGGGTTTCCGGCCTCACTGCGTTTGATTGTTCCGGCACTGTCCTTCCCCAACTTTTCCGAAATTTGTCAGTATGCGGCTGTATGCCGAACCCGTGCGTCATGCTAAGAGGAAGTTGCTTCAAGGATTGTTAGATCCACAGAATCATCCGCCAACGAAACGGCAGGCAATGAACCGTGAATCCTTCAAGCCTTTGTGAAAACGCTCTACACATTCTCATCCAACTCTTTTTTCCTCGAAAGGAAAGGGTTGGGCTGAACGTAGAGTACCAGCAGATCTGAGTCTGATGCAGACAAAGGAGCGGCTTGGCCGTTTAATGCCTTGCCATTTGTCGGATTTTCAATGGACTGAAAGGCTGAGTCGGATCTTTGAGCCGGAGCAATACAGCACCTGACCGCCGAGCGTTATTCAACGACGTTCGCTTGTGAACTTTCAATGAAATGACTGTCAAAAAACGGGTACTTTAGAAGACCGAAACGACGTCCCGCCTGCTCACTTGCTTTGAGAAGCGCTGCCCAGTTGGTGCGCGCGCCAGCTGGCAGCAGGCCTCGGTCGACCCTTCGCAGTCGGGAAACTGGCAGAGGCAACGAAAGACGAATGTCTTTAGACACTACTTCAAACTTTCTTCCGAAGAATAAAAGAGTAGATGTCGATGGAAGCTGTCCAAGATGCCGCTAAGTTTTTCACAAGATGCACTGCTCTTTTCTCAGATGCTTGCGCAAGGGATCGAGAGCATCAACTCTAAAGCCGCCCAGAGTGGGTTTTCTGGGGAAAGTGTTGGTCACGACTAAGGACTATTGATGCCTAAAAAGCGCAAGCCCCAAGAAAACCTGCATCCAACAAACAAGACGCAATCCTGCATCCAGATCCGAAGTTGCTTAGACCGTCAGGCCTTTGCTGTTCCTGATGACAAACCAACGAGCTGCTATGAAGAGTGACACATTGAGGACTGTGAGTTAAGTCACGATTGTACTCATCTGCCTCAGTATCCTGACAGAAACAGAATTCTCACCTCGAAATGGCTTGGGCTGAGGGCTCTTCGCAGGGCGCTGCCATTCCCCCGCTGCGTATCGACCGCCCTAACCAGAGCCATAACCTCCGCCGGTGGCTGGGCAACCAGCGCCCCAAACCTGCCCTCTAACCCGCTTTCTTGTCCCGCTTGACGACCTGACCGACTTTGCTTTACAACGCCAGAGTTTCTCTTTCGATTTTCCCCTCTCCCTTGGGTATCAAGCAAGTCAGTGACTAGCTTCCGTACTGAAGACCTACTGATCAACACTGGCGTAGATGAAGCTCCTTCATCTCCATCCAAACGTGAACTTTCCTGATCGACTTCGAAGGAGCCAGGATCTTGACTTCCTGACGAAACTTCCACTGGGAGCTTCCCAACGAGGGGCCGTATACATGAACGCAATGCGTCAGCCCGGGGGGGTGCCACATCCTGTGCGTCAATCCCCCCACTCAGAACCGCTAGCAGATCCCTTGCACAAGCAGTCTGTAGGTCCCGGTCCCCCTGGAACCCAACAAGATGGAGGGGGTCAAATATGACGGCTAGTCAAAGACGAATGTGATTGGTCGAGCTCGCCGTGACACTAGTCAACTTGATGCCTTGGATGTTCACACTGCCACAGGTTCCATGCCCAAGTATAGGAACATTGAGAACCAAAGCCCAAACCAAAGGAAAGAGCTGTCTCCGTTGTTGCTGTACAACGGGGGTAAATTGTAGCTCAGGCAAGACAATCGGCAGTGCATGCGCTCACTAGCACGCTGCAAAAGGACAGGTCTGGTTTGATAGGTCATTGATAGGTCATCGATAGATCATCAGCACTTCTGCGACAGGTTTGATGAACAGGTCTAAGTAGACTCACCGTGTAACTTCTCACGACTGCCATCAACCCCCTTGTGCTGATGCCACCAGTGGTAGCCCTCGCTCCAATGCTGGAGAGCAGCAATCCATAGAGGATAGTCGCTTTGAAAGATGGCTTTAAGCCACTGTGCCAACGCAAAGTCTTGACACCTGGCATGCTGACAGCTGTCAGGCCAGCTGCAGCTGAAATTTGACTCCTTTCGCAAAGCGATGATCGAATTGTGCCACAAGTACTTGCTTGCCTGCTGAATTTGCAAGATAGTCGAACCAAATGTGGGCTGGTCACAGGAGACTGAGGATGTGCCCTGCCAGATTGTAACCTTCTAAGGTACTCCTTGTATTGCGAGTCTGAACTGGAAGGTGCACCAGGTTTTTGGAACTGCACCCAAGCATTTGGCTGACCGTGACAGGGCGCACCGAAGCAGTTCGATGGCATTGTGCAGCGGCCTCATTAGGAACAACTTCTTATTGTTGCGGCTGGCTTTGCATCTGTTGAAAAGGTGGCTTCATCACCTTTGCTCAGGGGTGCCTTAAGCTCCGTAACAGCACTGGTCAGCTCGTGCCAATCTGCAGTCAGCTTGCTGGTCTTGACCCAGGCCCTGGAGCCCTGAGGGGCTGTGGCAGGGCAAGCTGGTGCAGGCGAACAATCGCCATATACTAGGTATATAGCACTGTATTAGCAGCCCCTGCCAGCAAATTTGAATATTCTGAAATTTTGCTTTTCTGCCAAGAAGTTTTTACCTTTGCCAGTGACGGCGACCAGAGCACCGGCGCCAGTCCACGTCCGCTCGAAAGTTCAATTTTAAAAATGGTCACGACTCACGACTCACAGTGAGTCACAGAGCAGCGAAACCGGCAGATTATACCCGCCGGCAGTGGGCTGTCAAAAAAAGTCGAGAAAAAGACAAAAAGTTCTGAAAAATCAAAGCTGTCCAGAGCATGTCGTGTTCGAAGTTGCTGCGGAAGCAGTGGACGACGTCTGACAGGGGCCAGTGGCAGCGGTAGCCAGCAGCAGAGTAGTTGCATAGAAGTCGAGGAGCCACAGATCCATCACAGGGCATTAGCAGGCCTGTAGGGACGCGTATTCTTTGCTGCACCGCCATCTCCCTGGTGTGTGCGGGATTGCTTCGAACATGGATCAGGGCAGCAAACAGAAAACCAAGCGCCCTGGAGGAACGGAGCTAGCTTCAAATGGTTCAAAAGATACGTCAGGAGCTGCAAAGAATTTACAAGCTGGGGGTAGCAGGCTGCAAGTACAGAAGAGCACCGCTAAGAAGAAAGCTGAGCGGCCTTCAGCGAGCGCAGGAGAACGCTCTGGATTGGGTGTTGGTCATGAGGGTGCTCAGAGTAGCAGGCGAGAGAACAATGAAGGGCAGGAAAGAGTGGATTTGAAGGCTGGAGCGGAGGGAGCAGCGAGGGAGCCTGAGGGTGCGGAAGAAGAGCCGGTGGCAAAGTCAGGGAAGCGGAAGGCTGGTGATGAGATTGACTCTATCTTTGGAACCGCAAAGAAGAAGGGCGCGGCCGCTGGGGACGAAAAGGGAGTTAGTATACCAGGTAGTAAAGTGAAGACCAGCAGTAAATCGAAGAGTAAACTAGGAGGGGGCAAAGAAAAGCAAAAACTAGGTCAGAAGCCAAAGGCTGTGAAAGTGCCGGGTGCAAGGAAAAGGACGAATGACGGGCTGACTGTCTACTCGGAAGAGGAGCTAGGCTTTGCTAAAAAGGACGCTGGTGGCACTCCTCTGTGCCCGTTCGATTGTCAATGCTGCTTCTGAACGCGCCTGTTACCTGCGGAGTCCCATGTCCTGCAACAATTTCTGGCCGACAAGCAAATGGGGGGCAGCGGAACCACTTTCAAAGAAGAAACACTACCCTCTGGATCATATGGCTTTATGCCGTGATCGGAACGATATTGAGCTGTGCATACGGTAGTATAGATTGGATCTTGTATTTGCAGTCGAGATCTGATGCCTTGTTAGTTGCATGTCGACGTGGCCGGGACGGGCTGTTCTGTACACCCGAACTGGTCCTAGGGTACGCATACCGGCTACACTATACCACATACCGAAGTTCATTGCAAGCTTGCAGTTTGCATGCCCGGCCATGCAGACATGTGAAACGGCTATGCATCCAATGCATGATGATGATACGACGGCAACTTTGCACGTTTATGTGTACCGATGCATCATTTTATGGGCAAGCTGTCTACGTCCAAACGGTTGGCGACTTGAAACATATGAGTACACACATCCGTGCCACCCAGACTGCCCTTGTGCATCTGCAGAGAAGCAATGGATACAGAGCTTTCTGCAAGGTGGAGTGCGCGACGATCTACCACAATAAGCTACGATCGATCAAAACTTATTTGTCAGATAGCTAATTCTGTCTCGATAGAACGCTCCAGCAAGACCGATGCCTTGTCTAACAGCCCACTCTCTGTCCGAGATGCCATGACCCGCTGCAAAGTGGTATTCAAATCTGCTTCCCGCAGTGCGGCGATTGCCTCCGGGCCTTCACAGATTTTGACAAGCGAATCGAGCACCTGTTCGAGGGTCACATCATCCACCGACTCGTTGCGAACTATCCTTGCAAGCGAAGCAACTCCCCCCAGCTCCACGACCTTGCGCCTCCGCTTCTCCGTAGTGGCGATCATGGCGACTCGAGACGCACCGCTCCGCTGAAGGAAGGGGTCCTGCGAAACAACTTCGAAACTTATGGCAGAGACATAGTAGCGGAGCAGGTAAGTGGTGGTTAAGGAGTGGTTTCAGGAGGGATATGAATACGTGCAAGGTCGAGGTAGATGTTTCTTGCATGATCTACATGGGCAGTAATGGCACCCAAATCTCTGACAGATAACTTTCAAAATTCAGAAACTCCGACGAAGCCAGTTCGGGCTTCTGCTGACAAGTTCGCATAAACCCAGATGCTGTGGTTAGAATGAATAAGCAGGACTTTTGGTCCAGAAGTCCGGTTGACTCTGGGACTCTTGGCAACCATCTGACCCAGTCCAATCACAACGAGTAACAAAGAAAAGACCAGAATCTGGAAGCGAAGTACGATTGTCGATCCCATTAGCAAGGTGAACCTAAGCTACTCCTCACACAGGGTGACGCCAAAGCAGCTTGCTGCAAGTAGCCTCACCTTGCTCCGAGTCAGCGCCACCGCATGGGTTACCATACTCTCGCCCATGAGCGGGTAGATGTTCCACCCAATGTACCCCAGCACCATTATTGCCAAAACTCGCACCACTTTACTCCCCTTTCTCTCTTCTTCACTCCCGCTAAATTGTGGCTGAGACGCCTCCCCACCGGGCCCCCCCGCCTCATGCACAGAGGTTGTTGCTCTTGCACCCCCAGATGAGAACTCTGGACTAGCGGCTGACGAGGCTAATGTCGCAGGCGCCGCTTGCGAGCGAGCTCTGGAAAGGTTCTCGGCTAACTTTGAGGAGATCGATTGGTTAACAACCTGGTTTGGCGGTTTCCCACTTGGAAGACCCGAAGCAAGCGCGGCTTTTTGGGGTTTGGGAGTTTTGGAGGTAGTCCTAGCAGAGGTTTTGACAGAGCGGAAAAGAAAGACGGAGGAAGAGATGCTTGGAAAAGGTATGGGAGCGGGATGGGGCTGGCTGATGCTAGCTGATGCATTCTGCCCTGCGGAAGGCAGCCCCAAAACTGGCTTGGTCGCAATCTGATCCCCAAGACATGTGCTATGCTTTGTCAAAGCCACCTCCACTGTTGTAAATCTTTGGGTTAGTATTGCGAATGCTTCACGCACGATGCTAGGAGCCGTTGCTTGCCGTGTAAAAGGTAGAAGCTTTGCTAACACGCTAGGAAGGGCCATCTCTGCTCTTGTATTCCTGCTATTCCTCGGATTCTAAGAGAAGCTCAATCGATCGATCGCTGTTGCGTAAATGGCGGTATATGAAAGCCTGCTTCAGTCTGACTCCTCATCCACTTCAATTGGCTCCACTCCTTGCTCTGCCTTATGCTCCTCCACAGCCTTTTCAAAGGCGGCCTTCACGTGGTTGCACAGGACCGCAAGATCGCTCAGTGCGCTTTTGAAGACTGTTCTGGCAGATTCGCCTGAAACAGTGGAGCTGGCGTTAGCGTCCATATCAGTAACATCACGGCTGAGCTCAGGATACAAGACCCACTTCCTTTCAAACATTTTGAACCGCTTGGATAGAGCCCAGAAAAGAGATGACACCTCAGGGGAAGCAGATGACGACCTGCGAAATGGCAGTAGCACCACCTTTTTGAGAATCGGAGACCTGACAATATTTGAAAACCGTATATCCATAGAGAATCAGGCTACAGATCAAGCGCACAAGCTGCAAAAACTTTTGACAAGCGTGATGAAAGCAAAGCACTGACCAGTAGTCTGCACACGGACGTTCACCCTTTGCTCTGAAGGATGGGGGACGCTGTAGCCACAAAATGCCACACGAGGGCTGCAAATAAAAGGACAGGCAGTTAGCATGTGTCACACGAAAAGTGGCACCACCCATAAGAACAAGCAGGACTTTAAATACAGGCAAAAAGTAAGTATGGGTGTCAGCAACTTAACGATGATAAAGGTCTCACGAAGCACAAAACCTTCTTTGAAAAAGAGAAAGGCTTCAGAACCGGCAGAAGCTCGCTGCGTTTGCATATGTTTCGATTCAAATCAATGACTAACATGCTTTGATAATAAGCTCCACAGCATGGTCACCAAGCCTGCTAGCAATGAGGCAAAGTGGCGATTCGAAGCACAGAGGACGAAAGGGCGATGCCGGCAGCTTGTCCAGAAAGAGAGTCGACAAGTCACTTCGGAGGCGCTCACTCCTTGTTCAGGATGTACCGCAGAGCATTGCCAAGTGTGTGATCCTCGTCCTTGAGCGAGAAGGTGATGGCAGTGTTGTCCGCTTCGCTTCCAACCTCGGTCAGGCCGGCGCCGGCGGCAGCCATGACGGTTTTTCCCTCAGCGGGCAACTTGCCAAATGCGCTGTGGTACCTGATGCCAATATTCCTAAAGCCTAAAGGTCAAAACGAGGCCATGCCAGCTCCAGCGCCAAGTTCGCGTAGTTACTGTTTTACTAGTGTACCGAAGGTAGAAAATTGGAAGAGAAGCCTGCTTCAAACTGGCAGTCAGAACCAATCCCAGTCTTGCAAGTTGCAGCTGGAGGTCCACGTGATACACGTGGGGCCTGGGCTGGTCGGGACAGTACACACGGACCCTGCCCCCGGGCCCACTGGGACACTAGCACAGTGACCGGTTGAAATCGATCGGGACGCCGTCCCTGGGCCAGATCGATCTTCGTCTATGGCGTCGCTTCCACAATTAAGCGTTTATAGAATGCATGATGCCCTGCGCGACAAGCACCCAGCATGACGCACTTCGTAGTGCAGTAGAGGCAGACTTGAGAGAGGTTTGTGAAGGAGGCCGCCCTATTCTTCTCCTGTCCCGCTCAGGCGGTGCATGTGGCAATAGTAAGTCCTTACACTAGTGAATGACATGGGTTGGAGCAAGATTAACGCCACGATCCTGGTGTTAGATCATCATAGTTCCTGGGTGCTGCAAACACCTCCAGGCGAAGAGGGCTAATCGAATGATGTACGTTCAGATTGAGAGTCAACTAATGTTGAGAACGATTCGAAGCAGCATACGTCAATCGAGCTGGCAACAATCAGTCCCTAAATTAGCAGGTTAGCAAACAAGGAAGCATCTTTTCCATGACGAGATCACGAAACACGTTCCAAATATGCTGATCAAGCATCCCCAGGACTGTTGGGTCCCGTACACATGTCACGTCGCAAAGTGTCGATGTTTCAATCAGGAAACCATGCGATGATTTCCGGTCTGCCTCCGGATTTCACTGTGCAGCAAAACTTGAAAGGCGAAGAAGTGGTGGGGACGAGGACAACGGACTTCGCACGCTTGATTTACGTGCGTTCACGGAATTTCCAACCCGCTGGGCACTGCGCCTAAAGAACCGGTAGATTGCTCAGACTTGCATGGAGAGGGCCCCAGCTTTTCAATGTCGCCTGGAGAGATTGCAAACAACTTTTTTCTAGGCGCCTTAAAGTGTGCAATCGGCCATCGGTGCAATTGAGAATTACCAAGGGCCGTACCATCGACAACCGCTGCGTATCTGCATCCCAAAGCACCCCCACCGCCTCCCAAAAAGGCACCAGAACCTCTTCAACTTTGTGCGCAAAGTCTGGTATTGGTTCTGGGCCCGTTATTTGCTTGAGCCTGACGACGTGGGCCTTGGCACCGAAGCGGCAAAGGGGTGCACAATCATTTGGTGTTAACATTGTGCAACGGACCGGCACAAAAAATGAGCAGACCGCTGATGCAGATTCGATGCACTTTGAGTACGCACATTTGTGGGGTTGAATGGGCACCAGACTTGACCGCACCAAGTCGATACTGATCCATGCATCAACGGTCCTCATAAGTAACTCGATCCTGTTGCAATATATTCAAAGCAGCAATTTCGTGCTGGTTCTGCACCACTGATCACCTCGTCGTTGCAAACTGAGTTGTTTCTCTCCTTCAAAAAGCACCGCTGCCCACGAGACAATGTTAAAAGCTTCCGACCAAAGCAGGCTGATAAACACACCAAAATTTGCACGCAGGTTTTGTAAACCCTTTCGAGATGAATCTGGTAACTGGATTGTGGAGGAGTCACCAAACCACCAGAATAATCTCTGCAAGATCCATTTTTATGCCGACCTTGATCTGCGTGGGCTGCTCAAACCAGCCTCATCGATGGTGAGTTTGGGCTGAGCAAAAAAAGGTACACAGAAGTCGGTGACACACATCATCACAGCTGCCCCGAGTCTTTTTTTCAAGGTAAGATGTTGAAAGCCGCGGAGCACACTGTATGATTTCTGCTTGTCTGCTTTTGGGGCCAAACTCGCGATTACAACCATTCTGCATGATACTGAACGGTGAAAGTTAGCTTCGAAGGCCTTCCCGCTCAAATGTGGACAAAAAGCTTGCTGTGAAGCTTCGCCAAACCAGCTGACGATGTCAAAGCTGCCCAAATTAGTGATTCAACAAATTTCAAAATATTCAAGAATAAGTGGCACGAGGAATGGCAACTTCGAAACCAGTCGACTTGGAACACCTATTCTTTCATTGGAGTGGCCCATATGCATCTCGCAGGCACGAGATTCTCGTCCTCGAAATGCGATAAAAAGGGAGAGTCCGATGTAGTAGCTGCCATTGCAAGGCAGAACTGTACTTCGCGCTTGCAAGGTGACATAAGAGCTGTATCGAAGCCACTGATACGATAGAAGAGTCTTCGGCTCTGTCGAAGCCACAGAGCCTGAAGCCTTTCTCACATTGAACCCAAGCGCCCAGCTCACATTGAGACAGTCTTTTGAATGTGGGTAGCGGGCACTCATCCACCCGCTTCAATGACTGAATCTCGTGCTCGATGGATGCGAGTACTCCCCGAACCATCGACCACAAGTGGTTGATGACACCTACGATCCATGTTGGCGACAAGCACATTGGGACGCTCTGGGTCACTCGAACAGATTGGAAGCTCCTTCCGACCTGAGTCTATCCCGCACTCATGTTGCCACTTCATAGGAAAGTCAGGGCTGCATTTTGAAGCAGGCTACCAGTGCACCGGAGCAGAGGGTTGCGACGTTCGCAGCCGCTTGGACGCTAGAAGCTCGCTCCCCACCGTTCAAAGCTCGATCGACGGCGGATCTTAATGGCACCTGACCCACAAAATCCAAGATCCGGACTCGCGGTGTTTACATACTCGAGCATCCACCCGTCGTGCATGAAATGGGGCTGTAGCTCAATTGGCAGAGCGCTGGAGCAAGTCTTGGGGAAGGATCGCGCTTTGACCCGCGTGTGTAGATCGGCCGTGAGCCGCGTGTGATGATTGGCCTTTGAGCCATGTGTGATTAGGGGATTATTGGCCTTGAGCCATGTGTGGTTAGGGGGGATTATCGGCCTTTGAGCCGCGTTTGGTGATCGGCCTTTGAGCCGCGTAGGTCTAGGTTCAGGCTTTGACCCGCTTGCTTAACCGGAGATGCGGGTTCGAAGCCCGCCAGCCCCACACAGCTTTTTGGAACCGTAAGAAAAGATGCATGTGCCCAAGCAAGGTGCTTGTTGAACGGTCGACGCTTGACAAAGAAAATGAAACACATGCATGCCCGGGTGAAGCGCCCAGGTCCTGAAGGGGGCAAAGCCGCAGGGGGAAGATCGATTGGCTTCTCCTATCCCTGGCAGTTCATTCATGTCAGGCTGACTATATCGGTTTGTGTACTTGGTCATGTCCATGGGACGTCTAGAAATTTGGACTAAGCTTGTCAGCTCCACGGTCGCGCAGGCCTGTGAAACATGATCCAATGCTCCGATGCACCGATCGATTGGCAGCGGGCCTGCACTTCTTCATAACATCCTTCGAAACATGCATGACCACCTCAGCCGCCCATGAAAACCTTTTTGCGACAGATTGACTTGCCATTTTGACCATTGGCCGTCGATATCCTGCATGTGCCCCGCGTCGGAGTGGCGGACATTATCGTTTCTGGCCAATCGAATCCAGCATGTGGCACTGATCGTATGAATTGTGATTGCCAGTGGCATGGCAGACATATAATCTGCATTGCGACTGTGCTTCATGTGTTATATCAAAGTACTCAGCATATAATATCAGTGCGCATGCATGCAATTCCACTGCGGGGCCCTGCATCGTACGAAATTGGTTACCGTAAACAATGATATCCGACATGATCACCCGTGTTAGTATGTTAATTCTACAACCAATCATTAGGACTCGACGATCAGCAGCCTTCCATTTCAATTCACGCAGGCTAGATTTGAGTGACCTGCTTGCGGCATACATCATGCAGTGCATGGTCGAATACATATGGCCTCGAACTGGGTACGCGAACATGCAGATCCGCAACTCGATCGAATTGGCGCCACCCGCCTCGGATCTATGTGCTGGCACATGATGGTCATGCATCATCATGCATGCGCATTGACAAGCAACCGTCCGTTTGCCAAGTCTTCAGTGGGGACTCGAAGCGGCTGAGCTCAACTGCATTGAAGCGCGGCCATGATGCGCCTATTACTATGTACATGCTGGGAGTTAACTTGGGTTCATCTCGTCATACTTCCACGGAAATGTTGGTCAACTGGGAGCGCTCAGCATCCGCCATGAACGCACTAGATGTGGCCGCCACGAGTGGATGTGAAGATTCACCGCTTGCGAAATTGTTCCATTGCGGACAGATCAACAAGGTAGCATGCACTGCCTGGTTGGGGGCGGTCTCGACTCTCTTATTGCGGCATCTATACAAGCCAACCTTAACTTAGCATTTCGCCGTCCGCTGTTGTCCCCTCTTCCTGTGCCGTTGCCAGACCATCGTCAGAGCCCTTTTCCGGACCATTCCCTACCGATGAGAGGCCCGAGTGTTTTCGCCGATAGAACAGCACATAAGCCGACGAACTTCGAACGCTCGACGCTTGAGTGCTGCTGACGTGCGAGTCGTCGAAGTTGTACCACTCGTCCTCGACCTGCCAAGAACATAGCCAGAAACATTAGAGTTGAAGGCCGGAGGCAAATCTTGCAAGACAAAATCGCAAACTTCCACTTCCTCTGTACTCTGCCAGAGTACAAGGTTCGACTATCTTGCGGTACAACAGACGGACATTCCCCTAGCCGTAAAAGCCATAGCCCCTCGGGAGGGACAATCTACCCAGTCTCCGTGCAACCTGGATGAAACTCCATTCGACGAAGCAATCGCTCGTCATGGTCCAGACAAATCGCCATTCGTGTTGCAGACACCACAGTCGCTCCCTTAACATAGTACTATTTCTCGTTGACAATACTTCTTGTCGCTCAAGACTAGCACTTGGCTCGCGGAAAAAACCTAGAAGACCAGAGAAGCTGAACCCCGCAACACTACTTAAGTAACTCGCAGTGGTCCCACCTTTGCATTAGCGGTGTAGTGCCCTCCACCCATCCCCCCGAAGTGGTTGCTGACAGCAAACAGCTCGTACTTGCTGTTCCCGTCGTCGGGGCCGGCAGAATAGGGCGCCAAGTCTAGATTGTCCATCGGAAAGTCGACGAATGTGTCGAGCTTGCTTTTGTGCCACCTGGCAGCGGGCAACAAAATTCGTGTAAAGCGATAGCAGGAGAGGAATTCACGGCTAATCGGATGGCAGACAAGATGTCTAATATTGTTCGCAGGGTAAAGGCGTTCTTTCGCCTTCCCCAAAGACTTGTATCTGCACGCCCCTAGACCTATGTGTGGGCCGCAAAAAAAGTTGACTCTGCATCATTTTCACCGAGTTTTGAACGGACGCTTTGCCGCAAAATGCTCCTGTCGCCTCCTTTTTCACAGGCTATCAAGTATTCTGAAAGCTTAACTTTCTGAAAAGCAGACTGCATCAAAGATCCTTCCAAGCAGCTTAGCAAAGTGGGTCATCCATTCAACACTCAGTGCGGCCACACCCAGTGTTCGAACAACAGACTCGCTATCCTTCTAAACCAACTTCAAGATTGACACGGTCCCTTCCGCTCAGCCTACAACCGAGCCTGGGGTCGCACCTGGTGTAGGAGAAGCGCTTGAGGTGCACGACGAGGACCTCCGGGAGGCGCCAGAGGTCGAGCTTCTTGGACGCCTGCCGGTGCTGCTTACACGTGGGGCAGTACCACATGTCGTCTACGCCGAGCGGCTCCTCTTTCAGGAAGGCCTCCAGGCACGCCGCGAGCGTCACCTCCTCGCCGCGCGGCTTGGTCGAGACGGCCTCCTGCTTCTCAAAGGGCGCGGGGACGTGGCACCGGTCCAAGTCATACCTGGGCAAGGAGATGGACGGTTTCGAATCACAGTAATGAGTGTTTCCAGGATGTGTTTGCGGGACAAGTTAGCTTGCGGAGAATGATGAGGCCTCCTGCTTCGTGAAGGGCGAGGGCACATGGCACCAGTCCATGTACCTGATGGAGGAGTTGAGGGTCTCGGAACGAAATCTCCGGAAAGATGCCGAGAACAACAAGCTCAGTGCACAAGCAGACGGCAGTGCTGGGATGGGGCGACGAGACATTTGGAGGGGAAGAACGGAGGAGAGCCGACGCTGGACACTAGGCTTGGTAAAAGAGGAGCAGACGGCTAATCTGCTCCCTGATGTCAAACAATCTAATTTGGGTACCACTAAAAGTTGGCTCACAACATTCTAGAAACGGCAAAAAGCAACCACCACGCTTGAGAAAACGACTTGACACAGCAGGTACAGACAACAAATCTACGGAGATGCAGCTACTGCACCAGCCTCACACTTTCAGATTGAGTACCAACAAGATCTCGTTTCGTACCTGGCCAAGTCTTCCTCTGTCCACACAATCGCCACCGTTGGATAGCGCGATTGGTCGTAGAAGCCCCGAACTGCTCCCGACGGGAACGGCCCGCTCGCCAGCTCCTCGAAATTGCTCGGACTCTTTTCGCTGGTCTTGACGATGCGGAGCCGCTTTCCTTTTCCAGGGGGCTCCGGATCAGCGGTACTGGGACCCCCCAAGTCGACGGTGTCCATGCTCATGCGGTTGGCCGTCGAAGCCGCCTGGCAGACAACCAAAACGACTCAATCAGAGACCGAACAGGGTTGTACAAGACATTGTAAACAGTAAGCGCCTCCCGAGCTTCCAAATTCCCTCTCCTTATCTCTCACCTTAAGGGATTACCAGGATGTATGATCGAGATTCCGGCTGCTCCAAACCAAACAAGAGTCGGGCCGCTCCAGTCGGCAACTTCAAAAGGCATGTAGCCTTAGCGCTCGGCCAACAGATTCCCACCAAGTCGATGTAGCCTTGCGTAATGCTGTACAACAAACCGAAGTAAGCGCGACCTATTGCAGACCAGCTACGCATACGAAAACAACTCAACCTCGCAGGACACCATCCCACTCTGACAAATCCAAACGACCTTAAATGGAAAACCCATCCCACCTGCGGTGTGCTGATCTCATCCATGTCCTCGTCCCCGTTCGCATCCGCATCCTCCGCGTCCTCATAGTGCTCCGTGCCCGACTTTGCTGACGTCGCCTCGTTCGCTCCGTTGTCCTCTTCCCCGTCATTGACCTGTATGAGAGCATGGACGCACTTTGGAGACCTGAACAAAATTTAAAATGCAAGCGAGGGCCAAATCGATGATACTATGCAGTAGCCCTCTGATCTGGCCGCGTACAGAAAGAACCTCAAACGAGGTGCGCATAAATAGGCGCTCCCGACCGGAAGGACAAGCGTTAGATAGCCAACCTGGAAAGGTTTGCAGACATAACCTGCGCCGCTGCTTCGATACCAAGTACGCATGGGAAACAGGCTTGATGAACCCTTTGAAAAGCGCACCTCTGCCAACGGGACGTGGAAAGCGTTTGCAAACAAAGAGCTGAGCCGTCGTTGTCATTCCTGCGCCTTGCCCCAGTGTCCCAGTGTACAACTCGCGCTCGAGAAAATCCAGACAAAAGGTGAGCTCAGGAAAAGTCAAACTAGAACGTACCTCCGTCATCGTGATCTCCTGACTGCTACTCTGCTCGTGCGCGCCGTTCTCCTCGCCCCGAGCCGACGGCCCGGCCCCGGTGTCGTTCCCCGTCTCGTCGCTATCGGAGGTCGACGCCAATTTCCGCTCAAACGGGCGCAGGAGCGTCTCCACGATGCCCTGCAGCTGGGCGGGGCTTTGGAGCCCCTCCTTGGGGAGCGGGGCGAGCAGGGGGGTCGCGAAGGCCCTGAAAAGAGGGAGGAACGACGTTGAGATTGGTCATAGGCAGTAGAAAAGAACTAACAGGGGGTCGCCAAGGCCCTGAAGCTCGAAATAAGAGACTATAAGCTGCGGGAATGGTAAGCTGATCACCCTGTGACGGATGGGGTTAGTTTGGGTTTGAGGTGGGGGTGGGTGGGAGCAGATGATTGTACGGGATTGAATTCCCGGGGTTGGCTGCGAGCTTACTAACCATGAGGCTGACCGTGAATGAGTTGAGAGAATCTACGGAAGGAGGGGGTGGAGAATGAGATCGAGGTTGAACGGCCGCAAAAAGCTCGGCTTTTTGGAAAAAGCACAGCGATGCAGCTATAAACCTTGCCAGGTTGGGCAGGATAGAAGTTACTTGGGACAACCAAGCGAAACGCCAAACGCAAGAGTATGCTGAGGACCTGGAGTCCGACCGTAAGCATAGAAGTTGACAGAACCGGGTGAGTGCGACAGTGTAATGTGACAAGTCTGGAATCGGACCAACGAGCCCGTCAAGGTTCCAGCAACTATACCACAACGTTTCCAATCGTTGCTCAGAAAACAACGCTAACAACGCTCTGCAACGAAATAACAGGCAGGAGGCTAGAGCGCCGCCACTCACTCATGAGAGTAGAGAGCCTTCTTCAGGTGGTAGACCAGGACGTATTGGCTCGCCGAGGTGCCCTTGGGGACGCGGAATGCAGCGATGAGGTCGTCGTGCTTGACCTGCGCGCTGTACTCCGTGAGGTCGATCCACTGCCAAATCTTTTGTTGGTACACCTGCACGAAGAAATGACATGCTGAGCCATTTTTTCTGATTCCTGCCTAAGAAGTGAGTTGTGTTTGTACAGGCAAAGGTGGTGGACACCGCATGAAGCTGCACTTCGTGAGTCGAATCCCAGCCACACCTTGTGCTGATACACCTTGCCGAATCTAGTTCGAAATATGTGAGCAATGTGCTTCAAAGCGAAGTCAGAAAAGGTTTGCAAGTGATGTACCCCAACCAAAGGACTGCAGTCTTTGGACCCAGCTTCAGAATGTTCCAGCTGTGCCCAATCACCTTGTGATTAGACTGTCGAGAACCCTCACTGGATTGCTTTATCAAACTCGGCAAGCGCCACCCATACACCGCCGCCTCACCTCTCCCAGGATAAGCTCCTCGTCCGGCCGTAGCGCCACCTTCTTGGCGACCTCCTCGTACAGGTCCCGCATGCGCCCGCTCTTGCGCAGCGTCACCATCACCTCCTGCGGGGGGTGCCGCCCCTCGCCGCTGTAAACGGTCACGTTCATGCTGCGCGTGGTCTTGTCCGGGAGCGGCAGGGAGAGGTACATGAACGGGTCGAACGTGATGGACGTCTTCTGGCACTCGGGGCACACGAGGGTGGACTTGTATTGGCCCTGCGGGAAAAGAAAGTGGGGAGGTTAGCAGAGCGTGCGAGGACTGATTGCTGCCGCGAATATTTGGAGAGCCCTGAAGACAGCTTTGACCGGGTGAGTTAACGACCAGCAAGTAATTGGCACGTGGCACCAGGCACGTGGCACCAAGGCACTTCCGCGTCAGGGCTATGCAACACACGCGCACTTGCAAAGAAGGATGGGTGAGGTTCGGCAAGGCGCGCGAGGAGCTCCGAACGACAATCTCACAACTACTGTAGAGTCCTCCAGCCCTTTCTTCCTCCGTCTGGCCGATGCTGCCGGGGCTTCCACATCCACATACTCAAATTGCTACATGTTCGTATTCGTGACGGAAATAGCTTCCGTAAGGTCTTCATCACTTTTCTTTGTCGCTTTGGGCTAAAGGGGCACTCAGAAAGAACAGGCGGAGTCTGCAGCGCTGCACCAATCTGCCCAAACCAGATGTCCATCTCTTTCAATCACGTGACCACTGTATGGGACTTTGAAAAGACCCTTTTACTCTCAGAAGTCTAAAGCAGCAAGCGGCACATGCTCTGTCAAACCCCAATTTCCGCCTCAGATCACACTAGCAGATTGTAGCCTGCAGAACGGATGGACAAACCAAACCTTACCTGGCAGACGTCCACAATAATGGAGTCGTTGCGCGCCTTGTGCATCTCCCACGCCTCGTCCGCAACCTCCTCGTCCGGCCGACCGTCCGAGTCCTTGGCCTCGATGTACGGCTTCTTCTTCACCCGGTTCAAGTCCTCGTGCAGCCCGTCGAGCAGGAACGCTAGCAGCTCCTGAGGAAGGAAAAGCTGCTAGAGTAAGAAAGCCTGTGTGTTAATTGCCTCCTTGTTCACAAGCTTGATCAGGACCCCTGACTCTTAAGAGTATAAGCTTTGGTCAGAATCAGAACCGTGGGTTTTCACTGTTGACCTCATGATTGCAACCTCGACTGATACCGCCTGATTCCTCAGAAACTAAACGTTGCACCCTCACTAGAATCCTAAGTGGCTCACAATTCTGCGACCCATTATGTCTGTAAGATCAAGATTTCTCCAGGGCGATGTATTGGAGCCCAAGACCTGAAGCTTCAAATGTCTGGATGGGCGCGATGCTTCATTCGCCTCACGATAAACACCTGGCGACCGACTTAAACTTGGAGGACCACGTAAGACGTCAAGTATGATTCAATATCGCAAGAACAGAATTATTAAGCGCACGATTCCCTTTAAAGATTGGTCATGCTTAGAACCGTTTCACATTCAAAAGAGCCCCGTAAAGACGGGTCGCCAGCGCGTTCGGCGGACCCAGAACTTCATTGCGGGAGAGAACCTTACTTGAGAGTCGTGCTGATTGTACCCGCTGAACTGGGGGGCGAAGTGCGCGAGCCGCGACTTGAAGTTGCGCGGCGCAACTGGAGACCGGTTCCCGGCCCACAGCTTCCGCAGCAGCTCACCAAAAGCAGTGGCCAGTTCGCCCTGAGATAGGCAGTAGAAAGATCGATTCAGAGACCAGACCCTTGGACTCGGGCTAGGAAAAGTACCTCATGCTACGACAAAAACAGGAAAGAGGCACTCTTGGACATTGGACATATTGGAGTCCTGGTATGCGCCGTGATGCGGACGGAGTATGCATGTAACGACAGTCGGTATGATTTTTCTGTGCTGAAGAGTCGCAAACGGGCTACGTCTTTCCTGGACAAAATAGCAATTCTGTATCGTTCTTGCATGCATGGCGCAGATCAAAGTCCACATCACAATCGGATACGTTGCGCAGCCATTTCCAGAAAGACGAACCGTCTGTCTGTCTTTGTTGAGAGCTAGAGAATCATTGCAGACAAATCAGAGAGCGCACCTTCATGCCGAGTGGGTTGGTCCGGTTGATCTCCTTGGTGAAGTCCTGGAGAAAGTACTCGACGAGCTGCGGGGTGTGCGTCAGGCACTGGAGCGCGCTGTTCATGAAGCACGTGTTGCCCAGGTTGGACAGTCCGGTCAGCCCTTTCGGACCGTCGTACGCCGTCGTGCTGCCGAACCAGCTGTCGCTGTCCGTGGAGAGCCTGCAGAAAGGTGAAAACCTTCAGTTTACGATGGAGATAGACCGGCTTGAAGAGCCTGCAAAAGGGTGACAAGCTTCAGCTTAGGATGAAATAAACCCGGCTGAAGACCCTGCAAAAGAGTGAAAAGCCCCAGCATAAGAAGGGGATAGAACCAGCGACAGATATGATCCACAGGAGTTCGGAAGTAGAGACCGCAACGATCAAACTAGAGGCTCCAAACAATGAGGGTCAAGTGGAACTTAGGAGACCCAGAACTGGTGTCTGATGGAGGCCAGTTGGTTGACGTCACACCCTTTTCTTTCTCAAAAGGGCGTCTAACCAGGAAGTCGGATCTTCCAGAGTCAATTTGAGCCATCTTCGCAAGGGCTGAAAGCATGCAGTGAAGGAGTGTTTTGTGAAGAACGATTGGGGGGATACCTCGTGGGGTTGGCTTACAAAGCGGAAACAAGCGCTTCTTTTCCCCCCGAACCACGACCAGAGCCAAACAATCCAGAACACGTTGGGCCTTTACTAAACGCAATCTTCGCCCTGCAACCAGAGAGGCGCCCACTCACCGGTTCCTGGTCTGAGGCCCCATGTACGTTGTCGGCTTCGGCGCAGGCAACAGGATGACTTGGCTGGCGCCCGGAGCCTCGGAAGGACCTGCTTCTTGGTCGCCCTCAGCCGCGGGCCCCTCCCCGTCGGAGCCTAGCTTTTCAGAGTCGTCGGGCCAGATCCCGTCTTTCCGTTCCTCTACTAGAATCTGCGAAATTCGGATTACGGGTCTCAAAACATCGAACAGTGTTGTTACATGCTGGCTTGCACAAAAGGACGGACAAGAGCCTGAGGACCGTCAGAGGAAGAAAGAGATGTCAGCGCCGCTGCAGTCGCCGATGCAATTAAGCTGAAAAAGAAACGTGCTTCCCCTTGCTGATGCCCCTTGACGAAGATAGGTATACCAGAGGTTTGCACCAAATTCAATGAGCTTTAGAATCCTCTTGGAGAATATCTGGTGAAGGTAAGAGCCACGGAAGTATCCTGAAGAGCAAGCTTGCACCTGAAAAAGTCGATACGTAAATTGGCATAAAGACGAAACCTTCCGAACGACGTACATTCTGAACAAGCTTTGCACGTCGGTTCTAAATAGATACCAGGGAAGGGCTCTAACTCGTAAAACTGTGGAACAACAAGTGCAGGAATGTAGCAGCCACAGAAAAGAAGGAGTGGATCGCAGTACCTGCTGCATAGACTGGATCTTGGCATCCTCCAGGGTAGTATCCGGATCCGACAGCAGCACCTTTTTCCGTTTCTCAAAGAAGTCCCACAGGCGGAACTGCAAATCGGAACAAGAGTAGGATGAGGCCTTGGACCTCCTTCATAACAAGGAGCTCCACCTGTGAACATATTCACGGCACAAGAAGATTCGTGCAGCGGAACAATGTCGCGGCCTACTTATGCAGTAGGATTAGACCTCTTGCAGGGCCGAATTGTCTGACAAGAGAGGTTACTACCCGAAAAAAGTGATTGAAAGACATGAACGGTTTACCTCCGACTCTTCAAGGCTGAAGGCCTTGGCGCTCCAAGTGAACAGATCCTTCACCGTTGCCTGCAGGGAGCTATAATATTCGAGTGACTCTTGCAAGAAATGTCAAAAGTAAAACGCAACTTGCATTTTGCAATAACGAGCGTAAGAGCCGTAGTACTGTAATGTGACCCGCTTCAACATTGCACCTCTTGTTAAGGTAAGGAAAGGTACTAGAACAGATCTACAGGGGGGACCAGTTGAGAACTCTCTGCTTATCCAAGGCAGAGTCAATGCTGGCAAGTGATACAACTAACTGGATGCTTATGCTTTGTTCAAAATAGACGAAATCCTGCAAAAAAGCAATCTTAAACCTCACTTCTATCATGAAATACGTCAGTGCACAGCCGCCAGTGCCTCACCCGCCTGCTGATCTCACAGATCCTGCTGCCGTTGGGGTAGATCTTGTTGGGGCGCACCATCTTGAGCTTGAACGGATACACCTCGACCACATTCGAGCTGTTCTGCCCCACTGAAATGACCAACCGCACAAAGTCCGGGCCTCCACCATACCTGTCCAATAACAAAAGTGGTTAAAGTGTTAAGCACTAAGCGTTGAGGCTAACTGCAACGTACTAAGGTTAAGCATTTGGGAGTGAGAAAACTGAATGATGAAATACGTTTCCAACTTGCATTTACCTAAGCCAGAGACTTGGGGAAACGGGACAGGGGCAGATCCATAGGTTGTAGAATGCTGTCCATACACAACATGCACAGAATCATTAGCAAGGCCTGAGTTAATGCACGCTCGACAAGTATCGACACCAAATGCCTCACTTTCCGCCATCATCTTATTCTTTTTGACAGCCGCACTTACGCGAGTTCACAGGAAATGACACAGTTTTGGACACCCAGCGGAACCACTTGCTTCAAATAGATCAAGAAGCGCTTCATGCAGTCGCTCCCAAGCTAAGCTCACCAGCCATGCAGCTTCTTCCAAGCATCGTCAGGAAGGAGAACATAGTCGCTCTCTTCTGCAAGCCCTTCTTTCAACTCCGGCGCAGCCTCTTTTGAGCTTGGAGCCACCAGACCAGAGTTGTCGATCGGAGGCGGCCTTTGCTTAGGAGCTGACGACATCATTGTGTGCACCGCCAAGTAGCCAGACAGGGGATCGAGATCTTCAATAGTGGACGCAGTATCGTCGTAATCTGTGTAGCTTTGCCACAGCTTCCACCATCTGCAGTAAAAAGGTCTGCTATGGTTTGTTACAGAGAAAAACCCAGAGTGGCGGCATGCATGAGTACCGAAGTCAGTCAATGCAGGCTTGAAAGAAAGACATGAACAACCTCGAACGAGTTTTTCTGAAACTTTTGGAGTAAGGCATTGGGCGTAAGGAGTGACAACTTCCTGGACTTTCAGCGACCTCCAAAGACAAAGTAGCCTGGAAAAGAATCCGTACTACAAGCGGAAGAAAAGCGAACATTTGTCACCAAAGATGGTGAGACAGAGAGACAGCTACTTCTACGGCAGGCAGGCATGCATGTGCGAGCTTTAATGCAAACGGATAGGCTGGTGCCGCATGACAAGTCAACCTTGCCAACTTTTTGCTGATTGATGCTGATGATGAAGATACTACAAGCAGTGGCCCTGACCTCGCTGAAAGAAGGTGAAACTTGTCGCCAGCCTCCATGGTGTATTGTGCAGCAGACAAAATGTCCTTGATTGCTTCTTTCTCTTCAGCAGGCGAGATGTCCGCCCGGTCTTCTGCCATCTCGGCTCCCATGATTGACCTTATCAGACTCCTGGAGGGGCATGCAATATATTAGAGAAATCCTCATACAAGATGTTCAACACTGACTTTACACAACATAGCATAGGAACAGATTACACCACTTCAAGGAGCGGATCCTCGAAGGGCTTCTGGCTTCGCAGGCCCCAGATGTGCACTAAAAGTCTTTAAAGGTGACATGTTCAAACAGATTGTGGAAAGGTTGGTGCTGGCATGATAGGAGACCGGCGATGCGGCTAATTTGAACTTTCTAGAATGGTCTGGCGATGGCAAAAGGAAGGCAGACAGAGATGCTGAGAGCCATTGCCAGAAGCGTACAAAGCTGGTTGGGACAGCCCCGTAAAGCGAGCCGTGATAACAGTTTTGTCAAACACAAATTATCGTACCGGAGAGTACCACCAACGTGATAAACGACGCGACATCAAAAAAAGTTTCTGAGATTGTCACTGTCCGCTCATGCAGATCTTCATTTACTCCATTCGGCCCACAGAAGCACGTAAAAATGTACAAGAAAGATAAGAACGACCAACAGTCTATCCCTTCAATTATCTCGCGGACGCTGAAGTTGAAAAGTGGGACTGCATGGATTCATGCAACAAGCAGAAAAGTAGCTCGCAGAACCTTATTATGGATCTCTGAAACCCAGGCACCTGACTAAGGAGATCCACCCCAACCAACTGATGCCAAGGTGCTCGCTAAGGAAACGAGGTCTCACCAGAATAACCTCCCTCTTGCAGTGACAAACTGCAAGAAGTTAGCCCATACAAAGTTTGTGCTTGGAATGCAAGTTTTCCACAGACAACCTCCTCTTGGTGAGGCGATCGCAGTGGCCAGCTCTGTACTCTGAGCACTAAGCGCCTGTCACTAATGCGCTCAAAGTGTATACTCCAAATCCACCTGTGGAAAGCATACGAGTAATGGGTCTCTTGTTGTTACATACGACTTTTTGTCAACACTGATGCAGAAGCCCTGAAAACGAATGCTTTTGATGGAACTTAAAGCAGGTCAGCTCTTTCTGGCAATTCTGCGCTTCTCTTGCCGCTTGTTCCGAGCAGTTCTGGACGCCTCTGGACCCATCCCCTGGGAACACCTGGGAAACCCTAATTTAGGGTTCCGCTCTAGAGCTCGTCTTTTATAATATTGGGTTTTGACACTCGTTCTCAAGTGCATGCCTTTCGAACGGCCTCTAAGACCGAGACAGTATTATCTAGTGTTAAGACGCTGATGCGCAAAAGTGGATAAGAACAATTTGAGCTGTCCCCCAAACCCTAATTTTGCGCAGCAACTCGAACTGGCTTTCAACCTTCCTGCTTTGTTCTGCGGCCAAGAATCCTTGCGCCCGTTTTGGACAGCTTTTGAGCGAACGTAATACTGATAGAATGCAAGCATCCTTCTGAAATCTGTTCAGACGCAGCACAAGAAAGCAATTCAGCTGGACGGGCAGCGTGTGCAGCTGCTTGAGCCAGGTGCAGCCCATTGTCAGACATTGACCTCCGCATCAAATGTAGTGGTGGTGCAATCCAGGTCGGTGGCAATTGGACGCAGTATGGCGCCCTCAGCCGCTCACTCTGCTTGCGCAAAGCTGACCAGTAATGCAGCTCCGGGGCTTCAACTGGGCAGCAACAGATGCCAGGAGAGCTCTGTGTTAAGTACCTTCTCTTGTCCCAGGGCTTCTTTCGCGTCAAGTTGCAGATATCTTCCATCTTATGCTGGCAATTCGTCTCAAATGGGGTCTGCATGCGTGCCGTTGAATGCTGTTACGAGAGTCAGCGGTCCGCCAGCAAACGCACAGCATTTGCATCGGGACAGTAACTCGCAAGCTTCAAGTGGGCGGCGCCAGCTTTTGATTGCTGGCAAAAGTCCTGTTGGTCATAAGCATCGGTGGCGTCAGCAAGGGTGTCCAGAACAACAGGGAAGAGGGAAGTTGGTAATGGTGCGAGCGGCTGCTGATAATGGTCCTCCCGAGGGTGGCGCCTCCGAGTTGCCGGGGCCGGGAAAAGACGATCAGATTGTGAATGAGGTTGTGGGCCAAGCGAGGGATGCACTGAGGGGAGCCCTAGAATCCGCCACGAATCAGGCACTGGAGCGAGGTGCCGGGAGCGGGGACAATCCTGAGAGTAGAGAGGAAGCACTAGAAGCGGCGATCGATGCAAATGCAGAGGGGGCGCTGGGGAGGGGGGCCGCCAGCCGCGAAGTGAGCGGGCGAGAGGAAGGTGACAGGTGGCAGGAAGAGGAGGGCGCCACTTCTTCCAGCCGCGCAAAGGGGGGAGAAGAGCAACGGCAGGATAGCCAGAGGCGCTTCGAAACAGAAATGCGGCGGGACGTCGAGCAGAACACGGAGGCCCGGGGGTTTGTGGTGGACGAAAAGCTTCGAGACCCGAACAGAGTGCCGGCATTTGCGCCAGAACAGCTCGGGGGAGGCGCGTATATGACCGTCCAGGAGCGAGGGGGAGAATCTGGCGGATCAGAAAAGCAGGAGGGGCGGAAGCTGCCGAAAAGCGGGTTTGTGGTGGATGATTTGGGGGACGGCGGGGGGGTGGAAGTGATTGGAGGAGGGGTGTCGGCGGGGCCAGATATTCTGACGCAGCGGTTGCGACGGAGTAGAAAGCGCCTTTTGATGAAGATGTTTCAGGGGCTTGAAGTGGGAGTGAAGACGGCAGTCACGGATCCAATGGTGAGTAGCGGTCCCAATTCCGATTCAAAGGTACCAATTCAGATTCTTTGGTGGTCCTTCTTTGCAGCGACGAGTGCTGATGCAGAAATTACTCACGTTGTTCAAAATTACGAAGAGGCATTTAATTCAGCAAAACCAGGTATAAGTGCTGTGATAAAAGAGGGCGCCGTGAATTGTGGTGCACAAGGGAATGCCGAATTGTCACACCATCCGAGTCGGTGGCATATTGAATGCGCATTTGGAGCCCTTCGAAAAGGTTATCAAATGTTTGACAGAGTGCCTGCTCTAGCGGTGTCTTTAGGCCTGCTTGCCCTTGCTTTCGGCAGAGTGGAACTTCATTTTGAACAATCAAAGCAACGCACCCACCTGCAATTCGTCCGATTGCTTTGCCTCTTTTTCCCCAGCTCCTTGCCTCTACCAATCAGCTGGGACATGCATTGCTTGTTCTTTTTGCTTTGAATGTTGGCGCCTTCATGAAGAACCAACTTTTCGCATCATCCCCTTAAGCCTTTGTCAAGACCCCAGAGCTAGTGGCGGGAGTGTGACTTCACATGCACTCTTCTGCATGGAAGCGCAAAACTTTCGAGTCAATAACTATCAAAGCTGCTGTCACAGAGTCCAAGAAACAGGTCCAATCAGAGGTCGCCAAACCAGAGAAGCCCTCCCGTCTCCTGACCCCTCTGTCCATCTTCCTCTATGTATCTCACCAAGTAAGTCGCAAGCTAGGCGCGTGCTTTTCGACGCCCTGACATCCCTATGCTGTTTCTTGGCCTCCCCTCACATATCCTTCTTTTCTTTCAGGGCGCCATCGCCCTCCTCTGGTTCTTTCTCACCCACCAAATCGAGCGCATCCTCGACTGGACAAACACTGGCGTTTGGTACTCCCGCCTCCTGAAGCTCGCCGGCGCCGCCTTCACTCTCCTCCCCCCCATTCTCCTCCTCGTTTCCTACCCCCTGGAATGGTTCCTCGTCACCCTCAACAACATCCTCACGGGGGACCCCCTAGCCAGTATCGGCTTTGGGCTGCAAGTGGCCCTGATCTACTACCCTATAACCTTCTCCGTTTTGGCCGCGATCGCCGGGCTCGAGGGCACGCGCCAGCTGGCGGTGTCCCGCGTGACGAACGACATCAGCCGCCCGTTCACACCGCAATTAATGCAGCTCGTGGGCATGGCGTGGTTCCTAATCATGGTGCCCGGCCTGCTTTTGTATAAGACGGCGATCGGCTGGGTGGGCTTCATGACGGCGTTCTATGTGTCGTTCTTCGTCAAGAGCGCCATCGCGCGATTCGTCGGGTACACGGTGCAGCGGACGGAGGGGGATCCCCAGTGGGCGCAGTCGCCGGCGAACCCGCGGGAAATCGACCCTGAGGTGAGGCATCTTCTTTGTTTTTCCATCTCGCAAAACCTTTTAAAAGCACTTTTCAGACTTCTTCAAAAGGATTGTAGTCTTCTTTTGACGCAAGTCCTCACCTAAGAGGCGCTTCTAATTTAAAACCTTCACAACATTGGATTTATCGAGACATGCTTACCGAACGTGCTCAAGCTTTTTCGGGCTTTTCTTGTAAGCACGTGCTCACCTGAGAGTCTCGTTCCAAAAGTCATTATCATTTTTCCGAAACTTTTCGGAGGGCTTTCGTGACCCCGAGAGGTCGTTCCAGACGATGTCATTCGCCGTCACATCTTGTAAGCGACATCTGGGCCCAAAGCCGCTCCAGGTCGTCGAGTCTCCGGATGTGTAGTTGAGGGTTTTGAAAGGCCTAAGCAGCTGGCCCCAAGCATCATAAAACTCATTTCAGCTTTTCGCCACCATCAAGTATACTGCACGTTGTCCTTCCAAGACCCGTGCCATCTTCAAAAGGAGTACCCATTGGACACTGGTACTCGTTCTTACACCCTCTCATATCACATATCTCCACTGAAAGCCCCTCGGAAGCTCCTCAAACTTGCGAGATCCGCAGATTGCCTGCGCACCTCTCAAACCGGAGACCATTCTCAAGAGTCTGATTCTTATGGCCCACTATACTCGGACGCCCACGCACACCCCGTTCGGACGTCCTTGTTTACATCTCACTCAACCCGCAGCTCGTCATTGAAAGCCCCTAGGGTCCTCTCCTGTGGCATCCGCAAACTCGGCCCAGGTTTCAAGACTTCTGACGTTTCAAAACGTTCTGCGCTCCACACGTGTTATGCTCGGGCCCCGGACACCTGCGCTCACCGTCTTCGGACCGTCCTTCCTTCCATCTTACTCAAATCTGCAGATGTACGCTGTAAACCCCCATAATCCATAAATTCGGTAAAGTCAACCTGCGCAACTTTCAAGCTCGAAACAAATGTGAGATTATCTTTGCAGTGGCGCATCATATTCCGAACGCCGACGCGCGTCGTCTTTGGACTGTCCTCTTAATCGTCCTACTCAAAATCGCAAATTTACGCTGAAAGCGCCAAGAATCCGCAGACTCTGCTCCTGACCAAGCCTCATGACGTTTTGAAACACGTCTCTCCCGCTGTAGTGGCGCATCATGCCCCGGACGTCCACGCGCGTCGTCTTTGGGCTGCAGTTTGCAGATTTACGCTCAGCGCCTTCAAATATTGAAACCGGCAAACTCTTCCCGCTCACTTCTCATACTTAGCAAATGTGAAAATCTTATCTACGCAGTGGCGTATCATGCCCCGGACGTCCACGCGCGTTGTCTTCGGACTGTCCGTCGTTCTTCTGCACTTCCTGGTGATGCTCGAGTCGTCGCAGTGGACCAAGCTCTTCTTCGCCAAGATGCCTCTGTGGGCGAAGCTCATTCACACCATCGGCGCGCTGTGGCTGCTCACCTTTTGCTACTACGTCAACACGCACTCGTCCGACTTCATCCGGGAGTACTTCGAGCAATACGTCGTTCCCAGAGTGAGTGATTTGACACTAACAATCAACTAACCGCGGCGATTGATTCCTGTTGTTTTACATTGGGGCCGGACAGAACTCTCCGTCTCGAAGCTTTAAAGAAGTCCTTTGAATAGGTTTGCATCTTGTCTAGTGAAATATACTACGATCAAGCTCCCCTCTAGGTGTTTGCCGTTTGTCATAGGACTCCCTTCCTATAGGGAAACCTATACGTGGAATACAGTGGTTGAATCTGAGCTTTAGCAATCTGGTTTTTGACCTTGCATCAACCAAGTGCGATCGAAACTTCAACCTCAAGCAGTCGTCGTGGTCATTCAAAGCTGCAATCTCGTGCAGGATCGGGAGCACTTGAAACATTTGAGGAGATTGAAGTCTGAACACTGTGAAGAATGGTGATGCTCGCAGCAACTTCCGGAATAAAAAGGGGTCAGCCCGCTCCAGACCAAACGCCGCATCGTGTCAAGTCACTGACGCGCCACGTGTCCCGTTCGCTGCAGGAAATCGTGAACGAGGGCCTCTACCGCTATGTCCGTCATCCCATCTACGCCTCCTACATGCTCCTTTTTGTTGCGTACGCATTCGCGATGCGCGCGCCCATCTCCGCGGGTTTGCTCGGTGCCGTCTCCCTCTGGTATTACAACATCCGAGTGGAGATTGAGGAGGCGAAATTGGTGGGGCGGTTTGGACAGGACTACGTGGACTATATCCGCGAGGTGCCTTACCGGTATTGGCTTGGCGTTTACTGAGTCACAATACTTTCTATTGAAAGCTGAGCGAGCTGGTACAGAACAGCAAACACTGAACGGTTTTGTGGGATCGGAGGATGAGTCACTTCCCGACCTTCCATTTTAAGTCCTGCAATTTGGCACTGCTAGCGCTCTGAGCTATTCCAAAGCCCAAATCCGGAACTGTCTCATGGCATGCATGTATTTAAACAAAGGGTTGTCGATACCATTATCCAGAGAATCACGCCATATGCACGCTGCGATTGCGAGCTATATACTTCATATGGCCGGTCTGGTCAATCCCGTGCTCTCTCATGCGGTTCGGCCCCGCCCGGTAATGTGAGGCGGATGCATGTAGTACGCGTAGTAGAGCTATCGACCATGCAACTTAAAATCGTCCGATACTAACGCCTTGAGCATATCGCGGTATGTATGCATACTTAACCGATGCTAACCAAATACGGCGGCACGCTTACACACATGTGAGCCGCGCCACTTAGCCAGATCAATAAAGCCGGAGCATCGCGCGCAGGAAACGTACCATGTACTGTCGGTCCTGTGGCCAACATTTCTTCGGGTTTTAGGGTAAAAAAGAAATTAGCATGCCTCTGGACCTATGCCAGTACCGCATGCGCACTTTTCGAGCTCCTTTGCACATGTGCAGCCACGTACACCATCCCGGCCAGCTGCCTGCTATATATGTCTGTAGTGCACCATGTTTAAAGAATGACTGGTCGCGGGAAGGAGGCAATGGTTGCCATCAGAAAGAGGCGGTGCGCATATGCAACAAGTATCAGAACTCCAGTCTTTTCCTTCGAGACGCCGGGTCTGCGTCTTCATCAAAGTTATGCACTACTAGGACGGGCAAAGCTCATGGAGGATCAACGGGCCGGTCACGCAATGGGCGATGAAGCATTCGCTCCATGCCGTTCTAGGAAGGGAAGGTGATGCAGAGGGGGCGATTTGCCAAGGGAGTTCCACAGGATGTAGTCGCCCTCGACGACCTGCCAAGAAAGTTGTGCGTAACCGTTTGCTTTGTTTAAAAACCCAAGAACGAAATCAAAGAGCCTGAAGTCAAGCGGACAAACCACAACGGACTGCGCATTGCATGTGATCAATTCCCAAGTGGTCCAAGCAAGTCGTTCTCTGACTATTTGAATCTACTTGGTTCATCTGCCAAGATCCAAAAATTCTACCTGCAGTTTTCAAAGGCTGCCAAGACACAGGGATGTGTCAAAGAGGACTCTTGAAAAAGCTGAAGAGGCTCAGATGGGTCTTGGATGACGGAAACTCAACACAAAACTGCGCCTAATTTGAGGAAGCGGGCCATATCCACCGGTCACTTACAATCCAGCGCCCTAAATTCTCCTGCCCTTCATCCGACGTGGATCTTAGTAAAATCGATTTGAAGGGTTCTCCTGACGACTACAGAAACGTCTCCCATGATTGACAGCAAGCTCTCAATTAACAGAATTTCGAATCCTGCGTTTCTTGTCGGAAAGGGTTTGCGGAATCGTCCCCTCCGGAACCTCGACCGCATTGGAAAGTACGGCCTGCTTTTCGAGAGACGTAGAACGACAAAAGCTCGTCAGAGCATTGGCCGCCTTGATTGCAGTGTTGCTTCACCTCGTAAGTCGCTTCGACGGAGGCCTTTGCCGGAGGGTAAATCAGAACCTTGGAGGTGTCAATCGCGGTTTCAGTCAAGGAGCAGCCCGAAACCCTGCATGGAAGACGAGAGAGCTCGACGAAGTTTTTTGCCGCTTTCTGCGGGGCGTCTGCATGGAGCATAACAAGACGACCAAACAGTTGGGTTGACCGTATTTGAAAGACATTCACACAAATTGAAAAGTTTTTAGCCAAGACCTTCACCTTGTGGATTCAATCCTAAAAAGCACTGAATACTTTTCTGACGAAGTATAAAAGTGTACCACTTAGAGGAGCTGTGTGGCTTCCGGTTGAAACAGATAGGACCAGCGGTCAACAGGCGGTAAAAGAAACTCAGGACATACGAATGACTGTAGAAGAGTCACTTCGGTGGCCTCACTTGAAAGAGACGCGCGCATGACTGTACTGATCCCAGGCGAACGGATCGGCCCACGTGGCAGGCCGGCTGGCGGAGCTGGTCGTGGCGTCATCATCCACGTCATCGGCCTGGGAGATACGATTCCAACTTTTTGGAAAGTGCCTTCATGATCCCTGGAGAAGACGACTGCCTTTTACAAAAGTACCACTTCGTTGCTGACGCCACGTCGGAAGGGCGTGAAACCGTCCGTAGAATCAGAGATGACAGCAGAGATTGGGCGCCCCAAACCCCAAAAAAAAGGTTATGTACAGATACTTCAAAAAAGGGGCCATGTAGGTAAGCGTTTGCTCTCAAGTTTCTCGTGGGCCAGACGGAAAAAGCACAACGCACCAGCTGCTAAATGGGGATTTGATCGCACGTCGTAAGCACTTGACAGTAGTTTTCAACCCGCGGTGGCGTACTCACAATCTGACCCTTTAGCAGATTCGAACTCTGGTCGACCTTCAATGCACGACTCCTTTTTCTCGCGCTCCACGAAAGTCCTCACCGTGCAATCCATTGGCCCGGCCTTTAAAATTTCAGTGCCCGGTTGTTTCGTCCCGGCAGCCTTTTATATACATCGCTGAAAGCGTGGCTTTTCCGGTGTCTCCTCGAACTACCTCTCTTCCTTTTCAATCTCTGATCGAGAAAACTCAACGATCCCTAATCCGAAAAGTTGACAAGTAGATCTTACCGTGTAGTCCATCGGCCCCGCCTCAAGCTTTGTAGTGCCCTGTTTCTCTTTCCCGGCCACTTTAAGCACGATCTCTGAAAGCCTGGCTTTCCCAGTTTTCCCCCCGAACCATTTCCCTGCTTTCCATTCCCTTATCGAACAGTATAATGGCAATTCTCACCGTATAATCCATCGGCCCGGCCTCTGGCTTCTCAGTGCCCGGTTCTTGATTCCGGGCCGCTGTAGCACGGTCGCCAAGAGCGTGGCCTCCGCAGTCTTCCCCCCGAACTATTTCCCGTACCTTTCGAAAACCCTTATCAAAAAAGTTCGACGAAGAAATCTCACCGTGTAATCCATTGGCCCTGCCTCAGGCTTCGCAGTGCCCGGTCCCTTCAACCCGGCCGCAGTAAGCACCGTCGTTGAAAGCGTAGCTTCCCGGGTCTTCCCCCCAGACCATCTCCCTGCCTTGCAATCCCTTATCGAACAAATTTTATGCGAATCTCTCACCGTGTAATCCATCGGCCCGGCCTCTGGCATTGTAGTGCCCGGTCCCTTCAACCCGGGCGCTGTAAGCACGGTCGCCGAGAGCGTGGCTTCGCCGGTCTTCCCCCCGAACCATCTCCCGGGCGTAACCACCCGCCACACCAGCGATCCGTCTTGAGGCGCGAGCGAACCAACGGAGGGAGTCCCTTCCACCGATACAATCGTCCTGCGAGTAGAAACAGACCAATTTGTTAGTGGTTAAGTATTTGTAATGACTGGATCTGCTTAGACCAAAATCACGCGCCACGCCAGCGAGCCGTCCTGGGGCGCGAGCGAACCAACGGAGGGAGTCCCTTCCACCGATACAATCGTCCTGCGAGTAAAAAACAGACCAATTTGTTAATGGTTAAGTATTAGTAATGACTGATCTGCTTAGACCAAAATCACGCGTCACACCAGCGAGTCGTCCTGCGGCGCGAGCGAACCATCCGACGGAGTCCCTTCCACCGACGCGATTGTTCTGTAATTAAGGATTGAGGTTAACAGGTAAACCCAGCATATAGGGGTTCTCCAACAGTGAAAACTGGACTTGGTTAGGGCAAACCACCCGCCACACTTGTAAGCCATCCTGGGGCGCGAGCGAGCCCACCGACGGAGCCCCTTCCAACGACGCGATTCACCCTCCATAGGGGCAAACACAAAGATTGCAAAGTGGATTCATCTAGAGCGGATTGAAAAACGTGCAGCCTTGCCCAGGCTCATTAAGAAGGTTCAGCTGGTGAGAGCATCAGACCTTAAATTGCGTCGCTGATAAAGCTCTATGGAAAGGAGCCCCGATGGGTTTGTGGGGACACGGATTGGTTTGCAAAGCACCCCGCAAGCCCGATGTTGTGCGATGGGTTTTGGTTTCCTTTGTTGGGCTAGGCCGAATTGACTTAGTAGGCCGAATTGACTTAGTAAGGGACTGAAGCATGGTGAAAGTCAGATCCCTGAAAGATTTCTAGATTTGTAAGTTCAATGTTAGGAAACAAACCAATGATTACAAAATTCATATGAGCCGATCAGGTTCCTGATGAATGGCCTTCCGCAATCCAAGAGACCCCCACGCCAACACTTTAGCGCAGACTACGGAAATAACGAGACCATCCGGTATGCAAGGGCAGAGCTTCAAAGAACAACCTGCCGGGTACGACCAAGGATTTGACAAGACGAAATGAGTTTTCAGATGCAAAGTCAGTTGCCATATATAGGAACGCACCTTCCAGGAAAGGGTATGGTTAGCGTGCAGTGTTCCAAACTGCTCTCCTTTCGGAGCCCCTCCATTAGCGTCAGTCGTATGAGCACCGCCGCCTTCGACTCCGAAAGCAGCTGGATCTGGAGGAAGCCGCGGATGGGCGCCTTTTCACACCGTCCGGGGGCCTGGTAGCGGGCGAGTGTGAACAGGCCCAAGGGAGGGGACAGGCAGAGCGTGGCGCCGTAGGGGGTGGGCTCGGGAGACTGCGAGAAGCAACGTCAACGCGGGACTCAGAATTTTATTCGATTTGAGCTTTCTAAGGAGATTTTGCGACATGGGTCCTCTGTCGGCTCAAGATACTCGGCACACTTTCTTCGTGGTATATGCCCAGGTGTTTCTACAGTACCGCGACAACTTAGGCCTTTTAAGATCGTTGCGGGCTTCCAACAACGCGTCTTAAAGACGTCAAATGGCTTGCAATCGACGTGCATCTCAACGGAAGCTTGTATACTGCCGTTGCGCTGCATGGTTGCCTTTGACAACGTTTCTTTTCTTCAAATCAGATCCTTAAATGCATTTTCTCGCCGTTCGAAACGGATTGTACTTCACGAAGGGGTCCGCACCTGTGCATTTGGATGAACTGAAAGCGCGCGCACGCTGGCGCCTCTAGGAAACGACAGTGGCACGGTGACGTCAGGCAGGCCCTCCAGGTCGGCGCGGCATACGACCTCCCCGCTGATGGATACGACGTCCTCCACTTCTGGTCTGCGGACAAGCAGAAATAAACTTTCCTTGGACTTCAGGACGGAATTTTTCGAAGCGCCAGGTGTCGTCTGTGCTGAGGATCAAAAACGGGGCACGGGATCACAGAATTAAAGCATTGAGAGGCTTCTGTCAATCAGAATCAGAAAACGTCCGGCCACAAGATGAAAGTTGAACCAAGCCGGATTGAGTCCACTTTGCTGTAGTTCGTGGTTGTCAAAGGCCTCGAAGGCGTAATCCGTTGCGTCCAAGACTGTGAGGCACCAGAAATCGGCACAGAACCGACTCCGCTCGAGGAATAAATGGACAGCGCTCACGCCGCTTCGTATCTGGGATTTTGATGCTCGATTTCGTTCATCCAAAGCCGATCGTCTCACCTGTCGAAAAGAGCTGCGGTGACCCTCTCCCTGACCATCAGAAACAGGCGCTGCTTGCCGCGGTACAGGTAGGGCTTCCAGTACGGCTGCGTCAGATCGGCGGGGGGGACATCCGCTGCGCCAAAGCCGTTTGACGCAAGGGCGGACGTCAGCGAGGGGTTCAAGTCCAGGGGCCGTCCTGAATCAGACAGTTTCACGGGACTCGTCAAATTCGCGACCCCATTGGTTGGCAGAGCTTCTTGGCATCCTTGCTTTTGTACTACGAGGCTTTGATGATCAGTTGAGGACCGGTCAGTCCGCTTGACAAACGGGCTTCAATCAGAAAGTTTCGAACCATTACACCTTTGCAACGTTCTTGAGCGCTTTTCGACGCCTGACTGGTACAGGTGCCTTCTCTTGATAAGTTTCTTCAGTTCAAGCAATGGTTGAGCAAAGAAAGGAGGTTAGAGTGAAATATTCCATCAGAAGAGGTTTTCGGCCCTTCAATACAAGTATCCAATCCCGCAACGTTTGCAGGAATGACGCTCATTGACAAGAGGCTTAGAATTCCATTTCGTTGGATGGCTTGAAGCTATCACATCAATTGCTTGATGCTTGCAGATGGAAGAAGATGCGTCTTCTGGCCTCTTGACGGCCTACTTCTATCCTGAAACAGAGACCTGCGTTGGCAAACCTAGATTGTTCCGTGACTGAAGACCAGAATCAGAAGGTCACAATTGTCTCAAGATAGGACTGACGCTTTAACGCTTACCATATCACTAAGAACCTCAGAACCTGCCGTTACAACCATCCACCAAAGCAGCAAGGGGGCTCACCCATAGGCATGGCCCCAGCTATAAATGTCCGCAGTGCATCTTTGTCCTCCTTCCTAAGAACCCCCGCTGACGAGCCCGCCGGTTCCGTTCTAACACTCGGTACTCCCCCACCTTTCTGAGAGCCGCTCTTTGCGAAGCCCGTCAGACTGTCTACCAGGCCGAAGGAGTAGAGAGAAGCAGCGGAGGGCGCACTTGGGGGGGGGATTGCGGGAGGGGGCGTCAGAACGTTACCGAGTGCGGCGGCGACAGCGAGAGCCCTGTATGGAATAGAGGGGTGCGAGAACTCTTTTTGCTTGTATCTTTTCTTGGGCCCGTTTTTGTTGTTTCCTACAATTTGCAACTTCCTTTTGAAGTGACCTAGGGTCTTTTCGATCCGAGAAAGTGCAATTGTTCACCACCCCTTCGAAAAGTCTTGTAAGAAGACATTCCAAACAGCATAATGCTTGGTAGGCCTGATGCTGCTGGCTTTGCGGAGGGGAGACACAAGGAGTCCCTCGGCTCATGTGAAGGACGAATAAGCCTAGGTGACGAATCAGGGTGACTATTTCATTCTCTCTGGCATCGGCCTTTAACAAAAAAACCGGGGCATTTGAGTACGGGGGTTACCACTTGAGGAGCAAGTCAAAGACTCTGCATCTCACCGGACAACGGGATCAAACTCAATCCTTTTACAGACACCTCTCTAAAATCACAGAATAGACTTCGGCAGCCTAGTTGGAAGGCATCCTAAATGCAACAAACAGGTCCCACATCATTCTCTGATCCAACAAATAGTAGTGTGATACTGAGACAGTGACAGCAGATTGGAAGTAAGAGCAGCTTACATGGTGATGGCCGGTGTCAGCAGCACCAAGGTGGAGAGGTCAGCAATCTTTGGGGCGCTTGAGGAGTTGACAGACTCATAACACTGCAGCGCCTGCAGGTCAATAGAAGGGCCTTAAACATCTATAAATGGCCAACCCCTGTCCACCTGGCAACTTTTCTCTCAAAGCAGGACTGTAAGAGCAGGAAAACTAGATTGGTGAACTCTACTCCAGCGCTCACCTGGAAACTTTCCACGACAAAAGGGTCCACCAGCGGGAGAACTAGAATGGTGAACGCCCCTTGTGCGTGGTGCTTGACGACCGGCCAGAGCAGGCCCCCATCCGTGCGCAGGCCGATCACGTGCTGAGTCAGCGGGTCATCTAGCCATGCATCAGTCCCTGCTGGATTCCCCAGCTTCCGCAGACCCTGGCTTGCGCGCATGGCTTCTTGGTGCTTTTGAAAGCACCGGGCGACTTCAGCATCAAACGGGATCCTTCCACCAATCTCCAAACTTCCATCTGACTGTTTGCCATGTCCTGACTGCTGTGCTACACTGCCTGTGTGGTCAGGAGCGAGTCTCTGCGTCACAAACGGCATCGTCCTAACACCCGGCCTACTGCCGTTTGGAGCATTCTCTGGGGACACCGATTGCACAGATTGGGGCTGTTCAGGCTGCAGATTGCTACCATCTTCTGAGCTTCTTGAGGGCTTTTCCAGTCTGGCTGCATCAGTAGCTGCAGACTGTAGCTGCCGCCACTGGCGCTCGACGGAGGGAAACTTGCGAGAGAAGCACACCTCGCCTGAGGAGCTGCTCAGGATCCACAGGGCACGCAGCGCGCACGCCTCCATATGCTGAGGGTATCGATCAAAGAGAAAGACTGCGAGAGCTCTTGCAGCGATTCAGAAGAAGGCTTCTCATTGGCCAGCATCCAATGCCACAAATCTTATGGTATGATGGCCTGCTACATAGAATGGCTTCGCGTGTTGCTTGCACGGGGATTGCTCTTGCGCCTCAGCACCTGATCCTGCGCATTGTGCCTTGCCTGTAGCCTTGAAATTGTAGGTGTCTCCTGAAGGAGAAGATAAAATACGCAGCGCCTTGACTCTGACTCTGAGTCTGAGCTAGCAGGAATGGATGGACTGGGAAAGTCAAAGATATAGTGTCAAGCAATCTTCAAGGGAACCCTTCAGAAACGGCATAGACCACGGCCGTTCTGCCGGTTTGTACCGCAAACCCGGCGTCGGTCTCTCAGACGTTTATTCCAGCCCGCCAAACTGTGCCCACTCAAACTGACACCAGCAGTTACACTGACAGACCAAAAAATCTGCACAGTTTCCTGAGTCTGGAGTTTCTCGTCCGTCCTTCAAGTTCCCATGAGGCTGCATGCTGACCTTGTTTTGCTCAAGAATTGCAGAAGATCGCAATGGCATGCGCATTGGAGGGAGTCCAAACAAAAGCTTCGACGTGACAGCTACAAAAGGCAAACAGCAAATGTAGGCGTAGGAGCTGAGTAGCCATGGCTGCTGTCATGATGGAGGATCCCAGCTTGGGCCAACCGGCAGAGGCAGAGTCCGCCAGTCTTCATTTGCAGGACATGGAGATGGCGTACAAAATGCAGCTCCATGAAGTCCTCCTAGCTTCATCACATACGGCTACACAGAACGGCATACCTGCAGGAATTGACGACTACACAAGAGAGATACTGGATGTCGAAGTTGAGACACAGGAGCAGCAGGAAGCCCTGCGGCGGCAAACCGAGGAGGTTGAGCGGTGGGCATCTCGTGACTGTCTGCTCTATAGTAGGGAAATGCCATGCACTGGCAAATGCTGTTGCCTGCTTTTGTCTAGAAACTTTGAGCTACCAGAAAATGACTTGTTCTGCTGTTCTGACTTCATGTTTTGGAAGACTGGGATGTTTCAGAGACCTGCGAGTTGCTACTTGATATTTGACAATCTCTCCGTGACTTCTTTTGCCGGTTTATCATTCTACTGCATCACAAAACAATGTTCAAGTTTCTTTCCAAGTGACAATGCAGTATTCGGGAGACAGGCATATGAAGCCAACTTTTGAATGTACTGTCAGATCAAACAAACAAGCTGGCAAGTAAAAGACAGAACCGTCAAGTTAGGCGTACAGTCCCAGAACCTATGTCTCATACCTGCTCTGTTGACGGAGTATCAAGTGACCTCTTGTCATGACCCTGCACCAGTGAATTGCAGAGCACGTGAAGCAACTGCAGGGGAAAGAGCTGCCGCAGCTGCTAGGCAAGAGGCAGCGATGCAGTACAGGCTGGAGAAGAGCGACGCCAATTTTGCAAGGTGAGTCAGTGCTGACCGTTTTGAAACTGCATGTGGAAAGTGCCTTGGCATACAGGTCCTTGATGTGATTGTTGAGGTTGTGAATAAAAGACAGACAGGTGCGCTGAGCATCTTGCCTGGCTTCTTTGTTAGCCTCTCTCAGATGGAACTGAAGATGCGGGTGAAGAGAGACATTAGAGCAATGGACCTAGTTCCAAGCTTCTTTATGGGTGCTTCTAAGGGCTAATAAGCATGTTCTTGGCAGATTGAATGAGACGGGTTTGGTCTGTCACATCCATTAGGTTTTAAGGTAGACATTTAAGAGACAAGCGGCAGGAGATGTCATTGCTCCTCATTGTCACTGCTATGCAAAGTACAATCGTCCTTGCATTGGCACCTACTCGCTCTTTCCCAACAGTTCCCTTTTGACACTCTTAAAACACATCTCCTTAGCACTTGACCTTCGATTCTTATTTGGATTTTGCCACTTCCTCCCAGGTACCTTGACGAACTATCCGACAGCGAGTGGGAGGACTATGGAGACATGTACGACATCCACTCACTCCCTCCAGAAGAGCGCGACTTTCCGGAGCAAGTGCAGCTGCGCTGCCTAGGCATTGCCGAAAACGACCGTGCCGGCGCAGGGGCCCTTCTGATTGGCAGCAACGACCAGCCCTTGATGGAGCTCAGTCCTCAGCTAGAGGGTGTTCACACCGCGTGCACCGCAGAGCTGCAAGTTATCTTGGAAGGCCTGCGAGCCGTTCGTGCGCTCGGTTTCCAGCGGCCCAGGCTAGCCCTCTCCCCGTTTGTCCTGCTGAAGCTCTCCGGAAGCGTGGCGCCTATCGATGCCACTGAGCTGTCCACTCTAGTTGCCGTCCAGGGGCTGATCGCTGAGCTTGGGGCAAATGTGAAGGGCGTCCCAATCGAACGGAACAAGCGCGCTCTCAGGCTCGCCAGGACGAGCATTGCCAAATATGTGAACGAGCCCCCACCTGTTCTTAGCCATCCAGTCCTGCCTGACGAAGCGAAGGGGGTTCAAGAGCCCTGCCCAATCTGTCTGGAGAACCACCCCCCCGCCGCAATGTTCGCCCTCGCGCGCTGCCGCCACAAGTTCTGCAAGGCCTGCGCGGCACAGCACGCAACGGTGCGGGTGCGCGCGCGCGCCCTCCCGGTGCCCTGCCCGGACCCAGGGTGCGGCGGCGAGTTCTCCCGTGAGGACTGCGAAGTCGTCCTCCCGCCCGACGTGTTCGGACTGCTGCTGGACGTCCAAGCCGAAAACTGCATCCCGGGGGAGGAGCGCGTGTACTGCCCCTACAAGGACTGCAGCGTGATGATGTCAGCGGGAGACTGGGGGGGAGCGGATGCGCCGAGCTCGTCTTCGCACCCGCATCGGACGGCCGTTGGGCGGGTGGATTGCGTAAATTGCCGGCGGCCCTTCTGCCTGGAGTGCCGGGTTCCGTGGCATCAGCGGATGACCTGCCGTCAGTACCAGGTGAGGGGACAGCGTGCGGCAGACTTGGGTCTTCTTAATGAGACAGCATTTCCAGTGCCTGGGAGACTGCGTTTGGCGAATAGTCTGTCAGTAGTGTATGAATGGCTGTGATTTGTTGAACATGATTCCACTGAGTGAGGAATGTAGCAAATTGCCTCCAAGCTTGCTTATTCACCTCGCCATCAACTCTGTACACGGAACAATAGACGTCTCCTGGTCGGACAAGATGAGATTCTTGTCCGACCAGGAATCTCATCTGAATGAGGAATCCGACGTTGGCTTTCTTGGCTTATTTCCAGGCTTCGCTGGTACCTCTTTTCAGCCGATCATTCGCATCATAAAAGCATTGCTTCCTACTTCGTCAATTGGCCAAGAATCTTTTGCGTTTCCAGCCAGACAAGGATAGTATGACCGTAAGTCCGTGTTTCTTTTCGTGACCGATACTACCTTTCCTTGTCAGTCAGCTGTGTAGATTTGCGTTGTGTCCTTCCCAACTTGAATGTTGGGGTTCCGAATAGGCACTTTGCAAAGCTCCCGGGGCCGCTCTATGACATGGCCTCGATACTAAGGTCTTTTTACCGTCCCCCGCCACACCTTCCGCAGGACCTGCCCCCCGACCAGCGTGCGATTGAAGACGTGAAGCTGCACAACCTGGCCGCAGAGAAGCAGTGGAAACAGTGCCCCGCCTGCCGCCGCATGATCGAGCTAGCCGAGGGGTGCAACCACATGACCTGTGTGTGCGGCACCGAGTTCTGCTACGTGTGCGCGATGCTCTGGCGCGGCGGGCGGGCCACATGCGAGTGCCCGCTCTTCGATGACGTGGCGGAGGAGAACGAGGAGCAGGTTCGGCATGACTACGAGGCGGACCGCAGGCGCAGGCTCGTAAGAGCATATAAGACGAGGTTGTGTGTGCATTACATGAGGGGGCATTGTCGGAACGGGGACTGGTGCCGGTTTGCGCATGGGGAGAATGAGCTGAGGTATCCCGAAGACAATATGGAGGACTAGCAGGTGTATAGCGAGTTCAATTTTCATGGCAATTAGAAGGTGATGGAACGAGCTGACAAGAGATCGGTGACCCAAGAGAAGTGTGTCATGCGCAGCTCGAGGAGAATCAGTCGGATGCATGCAGACTGCTTCATGAAAGCTGCAACTGACCGCTTACAACATGACTTGAAGCGAGACTCTAATTCACAGACAATTTGTTCGGCATGCATACGGTACGTCTCACATACACGTGGACTTGCAATGATAAGTGAGCTCTGTTGGTGGAGTTAATGAAGCGCATGTAAGCTATAGACAAATAACAAAATCGAAAGCCGTGTCATGAATGGCAAAACATTTTCATGTTGGCAGGCATGCAAAAATAAATGAAGGTGCGCACCTGGGCCGTCCATGCCACCAGCTATTCGTTTGTATAGAGTGATATGACGCAGACGGTACAATATGCGGCGCAAATGTTGATTGATAGAGGAGACAGCAACGTACCAGCTTGACAAGGAAAGCTGGGTACTTTGATAATCCGTACTTAATGCATTTGGGACAGTTTTACGAAGCTGCACACTTGTGCGGAGCGCAAGTAATGATCGAACTCGGAAACAGCAGCCGCCATAGTGAGTTGCTACATGTGCCCTTATAGCCTTTTCAAAAGCGAGGTGTACATTTTGATTAGTTATGAGGATCACACGAGAATGCACAATTTCGTGTCGCGGGGCCGCAGATTCGGAACCGTTGCAGAGGTAGTAACATGTTCCGAGAGGTTTGAAGCACGTAGATCGTAGCCTGTCGACCAACGGATGCACGAGTTGGCATTTCCTTTCACACGTGCGCTTCTAAGATATACAGCTCTGAGTAATTCTGACGCTGACGCTCTATGGAGAGGCTATGGAGAGCTTCTACAAGATCCATCTACGCGAAAAAGCTGCCCTTCGCATGCCTCATGCACCCGTTAATAAAATGGCTTCTATCGTTTCACGGCTGGTTCATTATCAAAGGACATTGGTCGCATTCAGTGTCCGAAAGGTTTTGCTCCTTTCGGAAGACAGTGATCCTTGTGCGCTGGCCAATGAAGCTTCTGGTGCTCTTTGCTGGAGAAAACAGACGTCAGACGTTAAATAGTATTCCTGCCAAGATGTTCTTCTTAAGTCCATGGTTGATCAGGCGCTTGTTGAGAAAAGTTTCAAGAGGGTTCGATAAGAAACATTGCTTGAAGCTTAGGGTCAGAATTTGACTTGGTTCGTCAATATAACCACAGGTGTTGATGCCAGCGACCATAAATATCCTTCCGCGCATCTCGAAAGAGAAACAGCTTCTAGAGATACAATCCTCTTCAAGCAAGCCGAATGGATGCATGACGGAAACGTTTGAAGACTCCATCGATTGGTTCATTGTTGACTCACCTGCAGTATGGTACCACACCGCATCGCCCGCACTTACTGAAAGTTGGTGTTGAGACCGATTCTAAAGCAGTACAACCGCTCCACGAGCAGACCGTAGGAATAGCAAAGTCGGCTCTTCTCAGCGACTTCAATATGGGGTGTAATTCTGCCAGAGCCTCTATTTTGCTGTACGCGTCATCCAGCAGCTTGCTCTCAACGTGCCTCCAGAAGTTAGGAAGCTTATTGTCCAACAGACTGGAGTATGGTTTCAGAAGCGAGAGCACATCAGTCTCCCTCATAGCTTTTAAACACTCCTTTGACTCGAACAACCGCAACAGCGAGAGAGCACATCTGTTTACCACTTGTTCCTTCGTTTCGTTGGTGAGCCTCTCGGAACGGAAGAGCTCTGCCAAAACTTGAAGATACCCTGCATTGATCATCCATACTCGGCTGTCCGATGAGAGTGCTAAAGTTTCAATGAGTCTGGCCAGTGACTCCGTTGACGCGTAGAGGTCGTCCTCGCTTAAAAAGATGTAGTCCTCCGAAAACAGCCTTTGGACCGCAGGTAGCAGATTCATGTGGATTGCTTGCATGCATTGCCGAAACACCTTCGATGCGTGCGCAAAACTGCAGATACCTTGAAGAGTACAAATGATCTCTCGGGGAAAAGCGCTGACCACCTCAATGCGCGCTACAGATTTCTGGAGAGAACGCGCCAGCTTCTCAACAAAGCTGTGTTCTGTCAGGCACATTTGCGCTACTACCTTGCTGTTTATCAACCTCGAGAGGACCAGGATTGAAGTAGCCTGATGTTGAGGATCTTTTGTATGTGGAATGAGCATAGGTGTCACGACCTGCCCTGGACTTGTATGCGCGAAAAGCCATTCGCTGACAGCTTTGAGGCATGCACTACTGAAGGCTTTGGATTTGGAGTCCTCCTCTTGAAGCAACAGCGTGGTCAGCTTCTTGATGACTGAACCCTGTCTGTAGATGGCCAGCTCTTGCATAGCTCTGGCAAAGCGCACACCCTCGCTTTGCGAATCGCGCGAATCCAACCAGCCATCCTGAAGAACCTGCAAGGCCTCCATGAACTTCCAAGGATCGTCAGAGAGGAATCCAGACGCACAGGTCTGCACATCCATGCTCGTCTTGGCTCCGCACCTTTCCAGTGGAGTGAAATCTCTTTGCAATGCCCAGCAAAACGCTTGAGCAATTTTCCTCAAGTGGCCTCTAGTCTATGCTACCTGGTTACAGGGCTTCACTCTGAAGAGAAAAGGCGCGCATGCGCCGAGAAACCGAGGTCGTGCGCCTCGCAGACACCAAATGATATCAGATCTGTTGTCACAGTTGAAAAGGCACCTTTTTGGAATCCTCGGTCCTTAGGAGCCATTGGAGCTAACAAATTCAAGAACAGAAGTCCCCTCCCGCATGAAATCAGGAAACTCAAGGACTCCTCACTTATCCTTAGAATCACTCAAGAAATCCACTCCAGATCAGGGGCAACGACAATTACCCATGTAAAGGCACACCAACAAAAAAACCAAAGAAAAGCGGCCACAGAAATAGAACGACACCAATCCTGCAACCACGTTGCAGATCAGGCGGCAAAAGCGAGCCTGCAAAATCAAACCCCCTTCATTCCAGACGAAACAACACACCTCCCTGCCGTAACAATACTCACGGCCAACAGTTGGTTATCTGAAGGACCGAAACACATTTTCGAAAACAGTCCTC